TGTAAGTTCGTAACTACAAAGTCCTATAATAGTTTTATATTTTTATTCATTTTTGAAAAGTATATATTTACATTTTTCATAATTGTTCTGTCTTCAGTATTTCAGTCACATTTAATTGTATGAAATATATTTTCAGAACCATCAAAGATTAAGATTATCGTAAAATGTAATGAATTGGTTCTAGTAACATAGGGATGAGGTAGCTATCATTTTTAATTTACTTGTATATTCTTGCTTATAGTTCAAACTGCATATGGTGATTGCATTCTAAAGCACTGATTATATTTTAGCAATTTCTTTCCAGATGAGTGAAAAGCGACGAAAGCTCAAGAAAAGTGGTCAAGGAGATAAAATACCGGAAGATGAACCTGCTGCATATAACAAAGCTCTTTGGGTGGTAGTCACAAAGGTTTGGTGCTCGTTTATCGGAAACAATTTCATCTTCTTTGCCTTACTACTTGTCATGTAAATCATAGTTTAGTCATATAAATAACTTACTTTTAATTGATGAAAATCCTGTTTTATTTTCTTCAACATGATAAAGAGAGTTTTGATCGGGAATATGCTAAAGCTATTTGTAGTTATGAATATCTTTGCAATTTGTAAGCATTTTACATTTTTCAGGTGTTCGCTGATCGTGAAAAGAAGCGAAAAATGCTGGAAGACAGAGCAAATGAAGAAAAGTTAGTCTCACTATGGTTTGGTGATTTTTTTGATTTTTAAAGTCACAAGCGATTACCATTGTATGAAGTTCCGAGGCACATTCAAATTTTTGTTCTATTTTGTCTCTTTTCTCTGGTGAGTTAGCTTTCATTCAATTAAAAGCAAATTTCAGACGACGGATAGCAGAAGAAATGCTTGCAGCAGCAGAAAAAAGAAAAAGGGAGGAAGAGTTTGCTAAAAATTATGAGGTGACAAATTTATATTAGCATAGAATGTTTGTAGTCATAATTTCTTGTTGTTAAGTTAAAAAAGGAGAACTTATTATATAATATTGAGTTTCTTGATCAAAAAAATCGTAACATGATTTTCATGCTTTTGTTTTTTGAACATTTTTACTTTATGAAAAGAGGAAGGTTTATATTTGTAACGATCATTTGACGATGTGTTTGTTTAGGAGTCACGCGATGAACGTCGAGGTACCTGGAGACAGTTTATGGCGAAAAAAGCAAGGAAAGAGGGTGAAGGAAAATCTTTGAAAGGAACAGCCTTCAAACCACCAAAGATAAAGTTGGAAACAAGTGGGAAATAATTGTAGTTTTAAAGTCTCAGAATTCTGATTCTGCAAATCATGAAATATTGTTTATTATGAAGAGAAATACTTTTGACAATCTCATCTATTTTAGAGATTTTACTGAAAAATAAGTATCGTTTTTGTAGATTCGAAGTATAAGGCACAATTGAGTTGACGCTAACTTAAAAAGAGATAACAAACTAAGAAAAAGAGATGAGGCTTTCAAAAAGTTTTTGAAACTCTTGCCAAAATCAAAATGTATTAGATTCGAAGGAATTACTTATGTGCAACATTATGCTTCTCGCTATAATTAATATCAATCATTACTTTTTTTCGTTTCCATGTAAACAGTGGCTTCGAAAATACATGATAACATGTGATTACATTTGCTAACATTTGATTTAATCGTACTTTGGATATTTTCATCTGTGCAATTTGATACTGACAACAACAATGTATATATGATCAGTATTGCCATTTTGGAAATTATTGTTATTGTAAAAATTATTTTCATCAGTCCTCTCTGATTTGATAAAAATTGTTCTCAGTGAGTACTTGTTTCAATTACTATTTAAAGTAAGTAATTCTATGCATAGTTCTGAGGCATCTTAAGTTCTCCTGATGTGAGGAAAAATAAGCTTCAAGCACTAGTTCTTAGAATTGGGTTGAGGTCTACTTTTCTCTTAACTATTCAGGTCATGTTTGCTTTTCGTCGAGGCAGATTTCAGTAAATTAAAATTTATTAAAAATCTTCAGGTAGTATTTTCGGGATTCATCTTTAGGTTGTCTCAAGGCTTGGATTAGACCTAGCTTTAAAAGTAGATAATTTTAGATGAGAGTGCTGCATAAATGATTGGCATATAATGAAATTAGTTGCCTTGGAAGTTATGAGATAGAATGTATTAAAATGTATTTTCAAAGAAAACCATTATATTTTATAAACAAATGTAAAAGACGGTTAGGTGTTAGGTGGAGTGCAATGAATCTACTAGATTGGTTGGTATGCGTGGCTATAGCTGCATTAATATGGTCATTGTGGCAACAATTAGAAAAAGCTAAAGAGCAGGAAATAAAAAATCTGATAAAAGCTAGAAAAGGTCGAAAGGTTAGCAAAATAATTCTTGAAAAGTTAGAAGAAATTGGTACTGTTGACGGGTTTCGCATACATCAGTCAGCAAGTGAAGGAAATTGTGTTTGAAAAGTAAAATCAAAATTGAGCGTTAATGTGGAGTTATGGAATGCATGGTACTGTAAAATTTAGCCCTATTTGTGCTTGTTTTGAAATTTTCCGCTTTAAAATTGCATATTGTTGCTACAGTTTAAAGCTTCATAGCATTTTTGTATTAAATTAAGTTTCTGTATTTTAAGAAAAAGCGAGTGAAGAAAAAAGCCAGTGAGCGCATTATCATCGATGAATCTGAATTAAATTTCAAAAAGGCACCACTCCCTCCTCCTCCATTACCTGAAATGACACATCCACTATCTTCTGGATCAGCAGCTGAATCTGCACCTCCACAATCTGAATTGACATCTAAAGATTCTTCTAAACTGGAAACGAGCAAAGAACAGTCAGATAATCAAAATAAGATGCCACAACATGAAAAAGGGAAACATGGAACTAATTCAGAAGTTACGGATGTACGTCTCAGTTATTCAACAAAATTTCTCAGATTTTTATTGTTGCAGTACATTAATTTAATTCATAATTCATATTCAGAGGACTACAAATCCAAAAAGTTGATCTCATCTTACGTTTATCTCTAATATCCTGTATTGATGATTACTTTTTGTAGCTTTTTCTCCGAACTTTTCTTTGCAGGCAATTCAGAAAAAGACAGGCAAATTAAATGAAAGTGGACCTGAATGGGGTGCACTTAGCAATCAAAAAGTAATTTCTGATTCATTTTTCAATACTTCAATCAAAATTTTCATATTCCATTTTACGTTATTCATGTGATACCATTACGTTGCATAATTTCACTGCAATATTGAAAGTGTTAATAAAGAAAATTGAAATGTCTTTAACCACTGAGATATTTGCATGATTTCCAGAGTTTTGTAGATTTTTCATTTATCTGATATATCGAAAATTAAACTCATTCGATACTGTGAGTATATTCAATAATTATAATTTCAGACACAACCACAGAAACCATGGATGTTTGAAGGTGAAGCCAATTACCCACCAAACTTCTTCACAGTAGCTCATCAATCCCACTAATGGACAAATTCGATAATTTATGACTTTCATTATACACATACCAATGGTATTGACAAATGTGTATAAGTCAATCTACTAAGCTGCTTATATTTATCATTTATCCATGATGTCGTTTTTAAACGAATCTAAGTGACCAGAAGTTGCTCCTCAAATCATAAATCAGTACCGATGATATGAAATACTTTTATTAAGACAAAGAATTTGCATATTTTAATAAACAAATTATGATTTCAATTCGCAACAAATATTTTTACTCAACATGTATTCAGATATAACTCAGCTTTCATTTAAAATTCCTGTTAATAAAAAATTGATTTTTATGAAAAAAATGATCAGAATCACTGAGAAAACGTAAGATTTGATTTTATATAGTTTCTGTTGTAGAGATTTTGATTCTTGCCCATTATTAAGATCTCAACAATGTGATTTCCAGTATTTTTAGGAGAAATAGATACACACAGGAACTAAAAAATAGTCTCCTTCTTTTACATTGCATGATGACAGATTAGGAAAAGAATTAGAAGGCTCAGTACTTTTTCACTGGCTAAGAATCTTCATTGAGTAAAGAGAAATATCGAAAACTTAGGGATTTACTTTGAAGTAAAAATTAATAATCTTTTGGGTCTAAATTAATTATTTGCATAGAAATAAAACTGAAAATTACTAGTCTTCAAGAGAAAAAGAATTAAATACTTATTGTAATTGAAGAAGTATTTCTACAGGATAAATCGATTCTTCATTATAATGATAATGATATGAACATTCGAAAAAGCAATTCCATCTAGTCTGAATCAAAGAACTAAATGATTCTGAGTCTAAAATTGCTTTGAAACAGTAATACAGCATTTGAGGAACACTCTGCCAAAATTCCGCATCACTCTCACCATTCCATAAGGAATTTGAAGTCCTCACTAACCACATGAACTCATTTGAATCAACCGAAGTCAAATTGCAATAGAGAAGTATCTTAGATCCTACCTACTTAATGGATTCATATAATTTTCATTTAAATTTTGATTCTTTTATACTCAAAAATAATTTGATGCGTTCCAACCTATCGATTTCTGAAGTCGATTCCGATATTATTTGGCTTGTCACAGTCTTCATGACCAGTCATCAAAGGGTCTGAGCCAAATTTAAGTGCTTCCTCAATCTTCTGAAATTAAGCTACTTTAAAGCTCCTATAGAAATTTACAAATTTATACTTGACTAATAGCTGACTAGTGAGATATGGATCACAAAAACATTCAAATAGTTCAGTAAGTGCTTTGCTAAATTTTTTTATATTCATTGACTTCTTTGAAGTAAATAATAATTAACTAAAGTAATTTCACTGTATGAATGCTTGCTACTATCTTACTATTTTACCTGCATCCAGCAATCGTAAGCTGGAAGACCACCTTGAGCTTGAAAATTCTCCGCAATCCATGATCTGTTATAATAGGATGAAGTATAGTAGTTACCGGTATCAGCCAAAATTGTAGAAATGGTTAATGGATGCTCACGAACAAGTAATGATTTACTGAAAAGTAAATAGCGTCAAAGAGCATAAATTTATGAAGCCGTAAAAGTTCATGGAAAAAATGTTAAATTCTACAAAATTTTACTTTGTGTTTTCAATCAGTGCGACATCAAATAATTGAGAACCATATCTATTACAACACTTAAAGGGAGTGTCGTTATAAATCTGGATGTTAATTACAAAATATATTATTTTTTAATTAGTCAAGAACTGATTTACGATGTAATAGATTTGCTAACCTGTACGTAGCTGCCACGTGCAATGCAGCCATGAAATTTGTACCAGTACTCGTGCCACCATTGATACCTAATCTTCTTAAAATGAACATTGCTGCGGTTGACGCAAGATCCGGAATTTTGATAGCTCGATCGACAACTGCGGGAAGTAAGCTAAACGAACTTATTTATGCTATGTAATAGACGTATGTCATAGCAAATCCGTTTAACATTTGCTTTTATCTGCTTGATATTTCAGCAATAAATGAAAGCAACGAAAAAGTGCAACAAATTTGAATGCTAACTTCGTTAAGATGTAGTAGTCACCGACTACATTTTAGCAACTAACTAATCTTAAAATACTGATAATGAGGCAGCTTACTAAAGTCGAAAGACAACTTGAGGTTATAATAGACATAGCTGTTTAGTTGGCAAGTATGATTTTGTATTAGTGCAGTAATTAGGCAAATATGGTTATCTTACCTCGATGTCACTCCATGTTTCACTGGGCCCATAACTCCGAATCCAATGCCAGCCATTCCCGGCGGTACCCAAAAATCTTTGCCACTTTCGTTTTTAAACCGTCCATTCATCACATAATCGTAATATACTGAATACTGCGTGTCAGCTAATACAATTTTAGTTCTTAGACCATATTTTTTTGCATATCTTCCAACTGAGGAAATTGTTCCACCTGTTATTTTTGTTTCCTTTATTACCACAAGAATAGTTTTTTAAATTCTAACCAATCCATCTTTTTGGTTTACACAAAAAATTAATATTTACATGTGCCATGAATCTCAGAGCACAATATTCGCCAATATCAATAAATTTAGTGAATGAGATCAATTTGAACTTTATCAGTAATCATTAGCTATTCAACTATTCATTTCAAAAACAATATGCAAGACGAAAACCGATCATCATACTTCGATAGCCTTTTCTAGAATGAATTCTTGGTAAGATAAAGTTGTTTACGTATATATTGTATGAGCTTTTATCTGCACTTGAATATGCACCTGGCAATCATCATTTAGAGTCTAATGGTGACTTCTCTAAGCATATTTAGCAAGAAAGCACTGAATAATTTGCATATTATTGTGATATGTAATAAAAATATCAAACAAACCAGTGCCAGCGGAATGTATAAAATAATCAGGAATTTTTGTCGACTGGTTTGAATCCTGTTGCATTTGTGAAACCATCTCGTGCATTAAATTAACACTTTCTTGTGGATAATTACCACCTAAAATATTGAAGCTAATGATCACAAATAAATGCTGGCAAATTTTATCGCTTTTCCTCTTCATGTGTTTATCACTGATATGTTAAGATAGCACTTAGAAAAGATGTAGGCTTTTTTATTTGAGCACTTTTTCAACAAAAAAAATTAATTCAGATACTGAAGTCATGAAGTCAAAAAGACTTCAGCATCAAATATTATTTTGCTTACTTTCGTGGTATTCTTCAGCTCTATCGGAATTGGCAAACTGATTCATGAAAAAGCCACCATTTTTCAAAGCTTCTTGTTTGGCTCGAATCAAGCGATTACTCAAATCTGTTTTAATTATTTTACCACCATAAGACAATATGTGGTCAATTTTTATTTGCTCAATAGTATTTGGAACCTGAAATGACAAAAAATAAATTATGTTCATTAATAATTAACAAAGTTTTCACACAAATTATTGAAGTTCATTAAAGAAGGATAATTAATAAAAATTAAAAAATACCTACGATGGCGATGAATTTCACTCCAATTAGACGGCACATGTAAGCTTCACTTGCTGCAGTGTTTCCGGAGCTTGCCTCGTAGACCGTGGTATTTTCAGCTATTTTCCCGTCTACTACAGCCCACATTACCAAAGCCCAGGAATAGCGATGTTTTAAGCTACCTGTTTTGGTCGCTGACTCATTTTTAAAAATGAAATCAGTATTAGGAAAACCCGAACTCTGAAAAAAGCATCTATGAAAATCAAGATTTCATTTATGATAGTGATGAAGAATCCAATGAATTTGAGAGCAATGATATTAAAACACATATCAATATAATTTGTATAAATCTGAATGGGTTATTCTCTTGAAATATGACTTGCGCTACGTATTATTTTTTTCTAGAAAATAAACTTCGAGTCATTTATAGGTATAGCAAGATCAGTTTTTTCGGAGTTGAGAGGCTACGTCAATATTCACTTATCGTCAAAATTCATTTTGATCACAAAATTTTATTCTTGTAATTGGACGTAAAAAATACTTTTCTAATAGAAAATGCTTTGAAGTTATATTTTTAACTCTCATATCAATAGTTATTGTTGTGAACAGTTGACAATTTTTATTTTATTTTAGGATGTAAACGAGTTCATCAATAATAATATTTATTTTACAGTAAGTTTGAACATTGGTGTTCTCCCCATACGCCTTCGTTCTTCCCATAGTTTAGCAATGGCTCGTCGACGCCACAAATTTTCCCCTTAAATTGCTTTAAAATTATATATCTAAAACAAATACTTAGTTGATTATTCATCCAATCATATTCATCCAATCATATTTAACATACCGTTAAGTTTATTCTCAAGCCATTTTTTAATCATTTTATTGAAACTAATAATCACAATTTGTGCATATATAAAGAGCAGATGCAACAATTTATCATTCAATTGGAAACAAAATAACTGTTTTGCAAAAATCCAATTTTCGATTATAATTAGTTGACAAAAAGTAACTTTTTATCATTTCATATTAAATGAATTCTTTAAGTTAACTTTTTTCACTGAAATTTAGGAAGCCAAAAATTTGTTGAAGAAATCAAATTTTTGTGTACAGCAAATGAACAAACGTTTATTTTCGTCGAGAGGTGCGCGAGAAAGCGACAAAAATGAAGAACTATCTCCGATATGCTTCGTGAACACAAGCAATGTCAGCAGCTGAGATAAAACTACAGGCATCTTTTTCTGCAACAAAGCTGAACTTAATCAAAGTTAGAGATTGGACTAGTACGCACTTGCAGTTTTCTCAATAATTTTGATATGATCAAACTTTCTTGATCTGAACAACATTTGATTCGAAAAACTGCACTGTTTGTGAAAAATAGATTGGTCTCCTATTAACGCAATAATTGAGATCCATAACAAATTTTTATCGAAATATAAGTTATTGCCCAAATTTGGTCTGCTTTTGGCTAAAATTGTATGTAATTATCATGATGGCATAAGAATAATAATCATGAATAATATTTTAATGTGATGTGATATTTATATTACGATGGTAATTATACGTTTAACTAATATCCCTATCAAAGTTAAAATATTTATAATATGCATCGAACCATCTTTACTTTCATTAATAATGCAAAGTGTATACTGATTAATATGAAATTTAATCAGTACTCAATATGATTGATGAAACAATGCTAATTATATCGGTAAAATCAAGTGCCACAACTGTCACAATTTCAATTCAAGAATAGTAACTTCATGAAATTCTTTTCACATTTTCTTTTACTGAATCTGTTCTATACAGATTATCAACAGAGTTTCTCAAAGCATACAATTTCTTTCATATCTGATGGAATAAGCGTATTGAGCACAACAAATGAATGAAGTTTAAAGTATTTAACAAAGATAAAATGATAATAAAAACCACATGATAAATCAAAAGCAAATTATAGCAAGAGAAAGTTAAGTTAGACTATTCCAATTATCAAATAGTAAAATCAAAATTAGTCACTGGAGGAAAGCAAGTTTCCAAGAAGTAGACAAACATGCTTCAAGTCTGTAAAATTATTTTCTCGATAGTATGAAAGTAATAACACGCATAGACACGAGCATACTTTTGCCCATACAACATTTTTACGGCATTTTCAATGAGTTGTTTCATTTCATTAAAAATTTAAACTTGATCTGTTGCTATTAAGCATGACTGATTACAGAAGATGATAATTATGAACATTTTTGCTTAAGCTTTTTGTAATTTTCGCAAAAAATTTTACTTTTGGCAAGAATTGGTTTTTAGTAAAATAATTAAAATCAAGAAATGTTAAGCTTCGAAAATAGACAGTAAATTATGAACATGACTTACTCAAGTAATGTTGTCGATTTGTTGATCTCATTTAACCAATTCTGATCCATTTCCACGCCTGAAAATTGTTTTATTCACTAAAAAATTAGGTATGTCTTTTTTTGTCTTATTAGTAATGCATTAAAATATCAAAATAGTTCTTTATGCAAATCACAGTCATTAATATGACTAAAAAATTAAGTCATATTTCAAGCGACCTGAAGTAAAACGTCCATGAAATATAAGTAAAATCAACACTTGGTTTGCATCTGAATCTAGAACTATATATTGATATTTGTCGAGATTTTTAATTGTTTCGTGACATTACTGCTCGTTTCTATTCATTGTTTCTACCAATTTTCTGGTGTTGTAGCATTTCATTTGTCTAAATATATTTTTATTAGGTAAATATGCTGAAGAAAAAGTTAGTTTTAAACGGAGAACAAAAAGAAATAAATGCTGAAAACGCCTCTTTAATGTAATTTATTGTTGACATACTAAATATTCTGGTAATTTGTAAATTAATACAATTAGATGAAAAAATTATGACAAAAACTTTTGAAGGAAAAAAAATTACTGACTTAATTCAATTATTATTAACAGTTGCATACTTTGACTTAGATTTATCTGCTTCATATTTCAAATGGAAACATAAAGAAAACTTGACAATTATAATATAAATAACTTTTCCTAAATAATGTAAAGATTATTATCTTGTATAATTTTATTGCTAACATTAAGTGGTACTGAAAGGTCTAGTATGTAATTTAATGAGCATCAAGTATGATATTACAACCAAATAACATAGAAATATGAAGAAAACTGCTTTTGGCTGCTCAATATGACTTGCAGAGATGATTCTATCTTCTAATATTGAGGTTAATTTTTTAGATGGAAATTAAAAACTTGCACTTATTGAGCAATCAAAAGTATTTTTGTAAAAATGGCAATAATTAAAAGATTTTTTGGCCTTGAAATCAATGAAGTATCATTTCCAATTCAATGAGGGAGTTTCTTAAAAAATGAATCGAAAAGAAAGCAACGAACAACATTGTTAATGATATCACTTAAGGGATATTAAGATCAACATAATCAAGAATAATCATTCTTAACATGCCTTGGAATTTTGCAAAAATATGAGAAAAGATTGAAAATATATTATGGAAGAGGTTATTTAATATTCGAAATAGTGACTGAAGATGCCAACCTGAAGTAAACAATCAACATATTTTCAATTTATTAAGACGCCAACGGATAAGAGATTATAGACGGATGGATAGCTTTGCAATTATAATTTATTCTAATTTTATGCAAAATTGGGTTCGAATCTGATTACTTGGCAGACAGAAAATATAATCTTAAAGATAATGAGCATTAGAGTACTTCTCTGTCAATGTTATTAATTTGTGACCACAACATTGTGAGATAAAGGTGGATCGGTTGAGAAAATAGAAATAGCATTCATGTAAGTAATCTTTTCTTCATAAACTTATTGCAGTTGATTGAAGTAAATACAATTAAGTCAGCAAGTTTTATTTGCATTTGTAAAACTTTTATTAGCTCTGACCTAATTTTTCCGCATCCATAGTGACATTTAAAAATAAAAAAGAGAGTTTTTTTCTTACTAGTCAGTCTTTCAAATTATAATAAGGTAATTTTTAAATATTAAAAAATGAACTAGTTTTGAGGTGTCTGAATGCAAAAATACCACAAATGTATTAGCATGCAATGACGTCCATGGACTTTCAGAAAATCTATCCAAAAAAAATTCATAAATCTAAAATCATTTCGTGATTCGCTATCAGTTAATCAAGTTTTGCACATGTGATCCATTCTGTAACAATTACTATCTCGTCATTTTGAGTTATAAAACTTTGCATTGTTCAAAATTTTCTAGACCTAAACAAATTATTTAATTTAGTATGAAAATGAAAAACACCTGAGTCTAAATACAAATCAAAATATACACTTTTTAATTTTTTTAAGTACTTTATACGCTTAAATGAAACTTAGCACGCTGCTTACTTACTTAAACGCATCGAAAACTATTATTTTACAGAGTATCAATGAGCATAACAAGCAAAACAAGATCAAGATGAAAATATCATCATAAAAATGATATAATTTTACTTTGAATTCTTATTCGACTTCTTGTTAATATTTGATAACAACGTATTTTGATTCCTAACATAAGCATACTGAAACCAAAATGGCAAACGTCGCTCATAGAACTAGTTTTCATTTTAGTTTCAACATTTTATCTGTAGACTTTCTGCTAATTCCAAATAGAAATCAAATTTGCTTCTATTAATTAGAATGACTTATTTTCGTTTTCAAAAATTCACAACTTCATCACAATAAATGATTTGTTGGTATTTATAGCAAAAAACAACGGATAGATTTCAATGAAAATAAAGAAAAAATACTTTTTACTACTTAAAATTACTCAACTCAAAATATATGCACAATTGTCTATTACGGAATTTTTTTCCATAATGTGCTACTCATTGATGACATAAAAGAAATAGAGCACGAAAGATCAGTTTCATACAAAGTTCTAGAATTACTTGCATAGAATGACAGGTTCAAGAAGTTGACAAAATTATCAACTTTACACAGATGTCGCAAATATTTCAAATAGCAGAAGATAATTATGATGGTACTGTTTATAATTGGTGTTTTCCCTGTTTCTGATGTTGCTTACATTATGTTGAAGGGGAAAACATTTATTGTGAGCAATACTATCACGATTATTTTAACAGTTTAAGTTAGCTTTAGCTAGGTAGCTTATACTTGCATTCAACACACAACATGCACCCTTGCAACAAAATATCTAATTTTACTTTCCGTAATTTAAATTGATTCCATTTTTGTCATGAAAAATTGGTGGTCATCTTAGTCAGGTCAAAGTTGATAATTATTAAAAAGTAAGTTCTTCATAAATCACGATTATAGAGTTCTTCATTGTGGATCAAAGAAGATATTAATTATCGATACAAAGGTTTTTTTTTTTTAATTTACTGGAGAAATTGTTAATAATTGTCATTCAGAAGTAAAGTATGTCTGGTGTTTATTGTACTGGAGCAAAATAATGAATTACTATCGCTTTCTTGATGCAGCGTGAATATTTACTAAAATCTGCACTAATATACGTTAAATGTGCACTGATAAAAAGTTAGCACTAAAATCAACTAAAATTTGAAGAAGATATTGCTATACAAACTCATTATCTTTTGCATTTCAAATCAGATTCGAAGATCGATGGCAGAAAAGTGTTGGGATCATTTTTTGCAGATTAGTTTATTTTTCAGAAGTATTATTCACGAATAATTTTTATGTTGAATATGTACTGACATATTTTGACCACTTTTCTCATAAAAAAACTGCTATGAATTTAGATAACTGGATTTGTTAGCTGAGTATTTTTACTGCAGGAATGGAAAATTAAGTCAAAGACATGCAGTGTTTATCACAGAACAAAAGTCAAGATTCATAAAACAAGGATGCTGCAGAATCGGACTCATGAATTCTTCAGGGCTCATGAAGAATGGCGATTTTCTTGGAATCAAGAATAATATGGAAGAGTTTATTCGACATGTGAGCATACGTGAAATCAACTGTAGATCACATTACCAAAATCTTTCCCAGTCAGTGCTATTGATAAGAAAAAATTCAAAGGCTTTGTTAGATATCATTTTTTGTTTGTTGGTTTCCAACTTGCTAAGAATTTGATCTAGCTAGAAAAGGTAACAAACGGTAGCACTAATGTACTGCAATTTGTCCATCGCAGTAAATTGAATACTTCTTCATTTGATGACGCTAAACCGAGAGATTCTTCATAAGCGATCATCTCGAAGGAATAGAATAATCATTCAACGAATTTCGTGATCAAAAAGAAATCAGTAGTTTGTGCGTTAATGCTAGCCTTCTAAACAGTCTCTTTTGCTTCTTTTTCTCCAACAAATAAACGACGAAATCAAGAAACGATGCACATAACGCAAATGAATTGCTTTGGCAGAAGTCGAAAAGGGATGCAATGAAATAAATGCATTATGCCATCGCATTAGTCTTCTTACACTGCTAAAATACGTAAGTTTTGTAGTAATTTTACAAGTAGAGGGAAGGAAGTTATTTTTGCTCGTTAGCTCTGAGCTAAACACAATGATTTCAATGTGCTAATTAATGACTGATTGATTGATTGGTTGGAATTTCGATAAATGTGTGGATGAGTTTAATTCCTCTGCATACTGAATATGTGTATATTGGAAGAAGGGAAGAGCGAGTATTTTAAATCATTTGAGAATTGGGGAATTGGAAAAGAAGCATGTAACAAAGCATAAGACTTTATGTTATACACTTAAGTATTCTCAATAAAATGAAATGAAGAATTGACGCTTAAATAATAAATCAGTACTCATTTTTCCAACTTTTCTCCATTTAGATCTATCTTCATTTCTGCGAAGAAATTTAAATAGCAGCGATTATTAGTTATTTGCAATCAAAAAACATTCATAATTCCCTTGAAATGTACTGCTTTCAGAGAAAACTTCTCACCGACCTGATTGATTAACAATGTTGTTTGTCATTTTCTAGCACTCTTTGCATTATCTGATATTTTCACATTTTAGTCCTTTTACTTTTCTTCTTATTTGGCTCTTATTATAACATACAGTAATTCAGTTCCAGTCACTTTGCATAGACACTTTTGTATTTTCCGTTTTGTATGTTCTTAGTTGCCCAAGCAAATTCAGAAGAATACTAAAGTACATAAATTAAGTCGGTCAAAAAATTCGGATTTACGATCTATTTTGAGATTACATTTATTGTAATGAAGGATTTAAGCTTTACATTCATGAATAAAGTTCACGACCTCATTATTAGCCCTTCATTCACATGCAAGTATTCTTCCTCTCATTTGCAAAATGCATGCTGCAGGAAAGTTAACAAAGAATTCACGACGCTACTGATATTTTTATTGAAGTTTGCAGAGAAACTAAAATATAATAATTTATTATTTTACACCAATTTTTTTCTAATATAAAACAAAAAACTTTACACATTTACAATGCCATAACATCTACGAATCGAAAATTTTCGCACTTGTTTTGCAGTGCGTACTATTCGTGCTTTATGTGTTAGTACTAATCATTTTCTCCGAAATGATTGTAAGTGTATGTGATTGAAGAATTGAATTATCAGAAGAAAGAAGCGACTTTCCACAATAGCAGAATGAAATATTGGCAGAAAACCTTAAACATTTTCAGTATGAAAAGAATCGATTTTCATCAAAATTCGCTCTCGTAGCTTGCTCAGATCAATCCAGAAGAAATACTTGGAGGAATAAAACTTTGGGAGGCGAGAAGCTGTCCATAACGAGCATCATCCTCTTCACTGGTCAAATATCGCTGACCTCCAATTTGCAATTCCAATCGTCTTAAATCTGCATAAACTTGCACTCCAACTAACCACTCATGTTTCATGCATTCGTCGATAGATAAACGTTCTTCGATCTAGAATTATTCAGTTCATCATAAGCTGCATATCGATATCAGGATTTTCGTATACTCCAAATAAAATACTTAAATAGAATTGAGGTTTTTTTTAATTTATGGTAGGGTTTTGACAAGTTTTCTATATAATTTTTGTGATTTCAGTCGCTTTTAGAATTTTATAAATTTACTTATTTTTAAATTGTTTTGATGGGTATTTTTTCAAAACTTTTGGAATTTTTGGCGTTTCTACAATCTATCAATTCTTTTATCGACTCATGAAAAGAAAAACAAATAAATTTATAAAATTATGTGTAGAGTATAGCTAGAAGCAGTGTGTAAAAAAAAAAGTCAGCTATTACTCAGTTTCAAAACCAAGCTACTAGCTCTTCAGCGCTACTACCTTTACTTTAAGTAATCTTTGAATCAGATCTACAGCTTCACGTGAGATTTCTTGCCATGGTTCAGCTGGGAACATGAAAGCAGCATTTTGGATTTGTTCAGCTATTTCTTCACCATCATTGAATGGAAATGTACCGCTAAGAGTCACATAAATGATTACACCAACAGACCACATGTCCAGTGACTTATTATAACCTAGAATTTATGTGGACAGATAAGCACTTCAAAAAGTACTTTTTAATATATTAAAAATTCAAACAAAAATAACTCATGCGTTCACCAGTAGATTACCTCGCTTTTGAAGGACTTCTGGAGCTAAATAGGCTGGAGTACCAACAATCGTTTTCCTGAAGGTTTATTTAAACTTGAAATTTTCAATCCTCAGTCTACTTTTCAATATAAATATCGAATGTAGAAAAGCTTTCAGTCCAAGAAAGACTGTTATGTGTGTTACAAATAGTTCCTGTTTTTTGTTTTGTTTTTGAAAATTTTTATTTCAGTTGTTTGTTGGCGGATCAAAAGTTAATCACAAACTGCACGATAGTTTAACCTGAACTGTGCATCACCAATAAATCGAGCATAGCCAAAATCGCATAATTTTGTTTGCGGAAAAGCATTGACGAGATCAGATAATAAAACATTTTCTGGCTTGAGATCGCAATGCGCAATACCCTTCGAATGCAAATATCGTAGGGCGCACAAAATTTGCATAATCAGAAATTTAGTAACTCGCTCATCTAAGCGACCTGATGCCTGTACATGATATATGTAGAATTTTAATGAAAATGAAGATATTAGCATTAATCTATGTTTGCTTTGAGACTTTCCATATTTTTCTCAGAACTTGATAAGATTGTTTTACTGAAAAGTAAGCTTACAAGCATTGTTTTCTTCTTATACAGAAGCTTTCTATTATGTGATTAAGACAATTCTTGATAAACTTTGACTTGAAAAGACTTAATTAATAATTTGAAATTTATAATCACTTTTTTAATGAAACAAAATAAATAAACTGTACATCGCTTTTTGAAACAAATTTGACTTGAATAAAACAAACTTGACTCAAAATCATCTCCAACATATCACCATTCATTTTCTCCATTACCACGAAAATTTTATCCTTTGTTTCAAACATCGATTCTAATTTTATAATGCCACAGTGACTTATAGATTGCAAAATTGCTACTTCACTTCGCAATGTTTCCACTCCAGCGGATGACTTCTTTGAGAATCGGTCTTTTGCAATCACCTTGGAGTTTTACGCAGTATTTTTTATTCCGTTAAATTTCATACAACATCTAGTTTAGATTTAATTTTTGTAGAATGGTCTAGAAATGCTTGTTTTGGGCACTTCTTGTTCACTAAATTACTACAACATTTGAAATAATACGAGAGCTTACTTTTACGGCAACTTCACGTCCACTTTGTCGATGAACTCCTGCATACACAGTTCCAAACTGACCGGATCCCAATGTTTTATCGCTCAAAATCTGATAGGAAATGCTAGTTAAATACTGAAGATAAATGTGCTTGAGGCAAATGAATACTTGAGCAAATTTTGAATAAAAATGAGCAAAGTTTACAAAAATTCAAACTAATCATAAGAAGGGATTAAATGCGTCTATGATTTCATCAAATTTTAGACAAACATAAAGTTTACCTGATACAATTCTGTAAGCCGTAATGCTGGTTCCGTATTTGAAGAATCATTTTTCGATGGTGGCGGTCTTAATGCTTGTTGTAAAGCCTAAAAACTGACTTTAAAATCGGGGGACAGGTAAAAACAAAACTTAATTACTCCTTTTTTTTCGTCTGAACTTTTGGAATAACCGAACCTGACTAATAACCAGTCAAAAAGGAAGTGATAGGATTAAAGAATACCTGAAACCACATCTGCACATTTGAATTACTTTTCCCGTTTGCATGACGCGGTACTTTTGTGGGTGGCGCACCATACGCATCCAAATTTTCTCCTACACAATATACCATATGTGAGGTGGTACGAATTTCAAAGCAGTGTGCAGGAAAACTGAAATGGTGATAACTTGTAAAACTGCGATTAATCAGGATTTTCGCAGCTCTGCAAAGACAGACGCTTACAATTTAGATCTCATGTAGTCTGAAACATTTTGCAATTGGTAACTGAAAAAACTAAAATTTGAAGTGAAATTTAACTGAAATTGCTGAACATCGGGACATAGAATACTGGTACTACTGTTTGACATGCAGTTAATAAAGAAACACACAGCAATATGAATTAGCCTTTAATAGTATTTCAAGCTATATTCTAACCTAATCTTAATCAAATATAGCCTATGATAATGTTCTCTGCTACGTTGCAGTAATATAAGACATGGGGATCATTACCACATTATTATGTTATTATTATGATAAAGTCAAAACAACAAACCTCGAATGCACAGGTGGTCCAGTATAAGGTGTCAAAACCAATATATCACCAAGCGGTATAGTGCGATAAATGCGATGTGGATTAACTCCTATTCAGTAATTTATAATCTTTTTCTACTTTTCAAAATTTTCAATTTCGTATGAAAATAAGCCAAAAATTAATGCTTATTTCATATGATGAAGAGTATTTAAGTATATATAAAATCTATCGATTTATCACGAATTTAAATAATTTTTTTTACTCGAATGAAACTATAATTACCTTCATTGTATTCGTTATACATGTTTATTGCACCACTTGATAGGATCCAGTAATGTCTCAATCGTCTTTCCGGTTGATCCAGCATAAAATGAATCATCCAACCTTCAACTGTTGGTTGACGATTAGTGGTCCTTGTTGATGCTTGACCTAAAGATTTATTTGGCATTACATTACACTATTCATATCATATATGCTAAAGGTCAGACATAGTTTGTTGCTCTCAATAAAGCTCGTGTACTAAAAAGCAGATGAACCTGGCAAACGTGCAAGTGGTATCATGGAATCGTTTTCTTCCTGAGCTGTGCTTTCGTCGTATGTTATTGAGACTAAAGATGAATCATCTTCAACACTCAACTGATCAAACGAAGGTGTGATTGCACCATCAGCTATTTGACAATTCATTGGCAATAGAGAAGCACATTTTTTATGCACATTAACCTAAAATTATATAGTTGAAAGTTGAATGATTCGCTAGATCAACTAGGAAGACGATCATTTTTTAGCTCATCACAGTTTGTTATTAAATAAAAAACTTTTGTATGCTTATGATCAAGATTTTACCAATACTTGAAGCTGATATCAAATCAAATGGCGGAAAGCAAAACTTCTGGATTTTTCAGGATATAGACGCACCAAATCATCATTTTTTGACTATATTTTTCATTTTATATAAAAGCAAACCTTGCAGTCCCGACAGCGCAATCCTTGTTTTATTAAACCAATCAACATTTTGTCACATACTTTACAAACAGTAAGAGTTTTATAATTATGTACAGCCAACGTGTGTGGCAACGCGAATGCAGCATCTTGCAAGCATCGAAGATCTCCTATTCAAAGATGCAAAGAATAATCGATTTGGCATTTCTGCTCATATTATCATTGCACATGCAACATTTTTTAAAGAATTAGCAAATAATACAAATTATCTCTTTAATGGAGAATACCTGTACATGTTGAATTTGGAAGTACCATTGTTAAATTATTTTTGGCACAATTATTTCTTGGCGCAAATGCGCATTTTTTGTGAAAATTGCATCTGCAGATATTAAATTGTTTTTATAAATGATAAATTCAAAAATAATTTAAACTGTATTTCAAAAAAAATTGGCTTAAAAATTTTTGAACTTAATAGAACTTTATATGCAAAGTGAGATTAATGCTTTTTTACTAATTAAAGAATACCGGCATTTAGTACACTGAAGTCCTTGCTTGATTAAGCCAACCAGTATTTCTCCACAATAATCACAAAAAGTTGGCGTCATATATGATGTAACAGCAAGCACGTGAGGTCGAGTAGGTCTTTCATTACGGTCAATCAGTATAATTTCCACAATACAACCATTATCCTCAAATTCACTTTCTGAAGCCATATAATGTGATGACGTAAAAGTTTTGACTTAATTAAGAAGTCAGTTTTTTGATTTGTTCAGAAGAAATTTTAGTAATCATAGCTCAATTGTTTGACAATAAAATAATTAGCGAAAGAGCAATAGCATTTGCAACTTTCATTGATGTAAATAAATATAAGTGTTTATGAGAAGAGCAATGTATACCAATTCTGAAACGGATGTCAAGTGCTGGAGGATATTTTGGGAATTATAATCGTGCCTGAATAAATGTAATTCGCAGCTACCTGCTAATTTGCCACCACACTGCTTCTCCGCTAGCTGTCTCGCTCGTTCACAAAGTGATTCAAACTGCTAAAAATTGAAGAAGAAAATTAGTTTGAAAAATTTTGGTATTTGATGATAAGTTAAGTACTAAAGTAAAGCCATCATTGGGTTTTATTTCAATTATGAAAATGAATTTTTATGAAAATTTCTGCAATTATCTTAAAAATCATAATTTTCCTTTATTTGAAAATGATACCATGAACACAGCATGAAAAAGTAACCAAATCCATTCATTGCTACCATTTTCAAAAAAAAGTGATAATTTTCTAAAAGTACTATTTTTCGGCTGAAGGAGTAATATTTACCTGCCCCATCCGAAGCGATAGACGCATCAGAAAAAGTTCAGCACAATAATTCAAAAAATATATAATTTCATAATTCTCGAGAGAAACCAGTTTCGTCAAACTTTATTCATTCACCAAAGCAACATCAATCAAAACTTTTCTGTTAACTAATATTTCGAATTCACAACAACAAACCTGTGGATTATCTGAACGTTCCAGCACTACTAGCTCCTTCATGGAGCCATACTGAAGCGTTATCGATATTCTACGGTCTTCCCACGTATGTATTAGAGCCATATCCACAATATTACCGTTAACATTAAAATTATTAGTAATATTAGGTATAGTGTTACTGGGCAACATTTTATGACTCTTAGATTCTTCTACAGAATTATTTTCGTAATCATTTATCCTGAAACTCTTTTAACCTCATATCACTGCATTTTGAGAAATCGATCGATAAAAGTAAATCTTTTGTACTATCCTTACCTTTATTAATAATGAGAATTTTTGTCAAAAAATGTACTATTTGCAAATGGTAAATTTATATTATCCAAATTAGATAAGATTGATGTCTCGATGCCGAACAGATGACAAATAGGACTATAACAGTAAAATATATTGCTAATTTCTACCCGAATGCATGATCTGACGCAGTTTTACAGAAAACTTTACTCTAATCTTAGCCAATTCGCAGTTGTCTAACCTTTAACTTTTGATTACAACATTTCAAGCATTAAAAGTCGTAGACAACATTCTCCAGAAGAATTAATACATCAAGACTGAAAGTAACTAAGTGTTGATTAGTTCAGGCTTTTCTTGCCAAAAAATAATGCTTAATTTTTATTTTTCAGTATTGGTCAATGCAATGGGTTGAAATACGACAGTAATATCAGTATCAAAATGATAAAAACGAATAAAGAGAAAAAATTTGAGTAAAATTGATCAATTTAAGTGAGAAATTGCTTAGGAATGAATGGTAAAAGTATGGATTGTAAATAGATAAGATGAAAAGTGAGTGAGTGGTATGTATGTGCGACGAGGAGGAAAGTATCTATCGCTATCACTGAGAAAGTGTCAGCGAATAGTTTCTTCAAAATTGCAGACATTGCAGTGGGCAAGAAATTTCAGTAATCGCTTCAGTACCGTTTAAACTAGTTCTTCTTGAAATCTTTTTGCAATTTATTGTCAGAATGCAACAAAACTAGACAGTAACACTCTTACTCACTCTGTGCTCACCTTCCTTAATTGTTGTTGTTTAAATTCACTGAGAATGAGAATAGATATTCTAAAGAAGTTTACTTATTTTTTAAACTATATAACAGATATCAAAAATTGTTCAGAAATAATGGAAACAGAGGAAATGTTTTCGATTAAAGGTTTATCTTTATTTAAAGAGAAATCACTGATATTAGAGAATTATAATGACATCATGCATTATTCTTATTAATTTTTAAAAATGAATTCACAAATTTAGAAACAAAAAGAAGATTACTCTTGTTGATGATAGGGTTTGAAATCGGATTAAGTGCACAATGATAGCTTTGTATGACACTTATTATTTCTAGTAAGTTTACCAATCTTACCAATCAGGCAATCAATTGAGCGATTGGTTAGAAAGTTAAAATTTATTAAAGGCTTCTTTGAATCTAATGAAAAGAGGATTTAAAAAATGTTTGCATAATTTCACTGAGCACATTTTGGAGGAAAAAACGAAATTTGCTTGCATAAAATAATAAGAATTTATATAAATTAAATAACATGCTTTCTTCTAAGAGCTCTAACTTTCTCATGGACAAAATGAATAAACGATTCATCAGTAAAAAGCTGGTGTGACTCTGGCAAACAGGATATCATATCATACCGAAAAGGAGTTCAAATTTAAACTCTGATGAACAATAATTGCAAATTGTAGCAGTAGTAGAGAGCCTTAAGATCGATTTTTTGACTCTGGATCAGCTTTGGTAAATTCTGCGATCAAACTGATTTTGCTTGTTCATCTGTTTATTACATTTTCGCGCAATAATATTAAGTCTACCAGCAATAGGAAGAAAAGGCGAGAGAGAAATGAGTCACAGTGTTAAGCTCTCTTCTCTTACTCACGTTAGAGCTTTATGCTCCATAAGGACCTCTAGTGACAAAAAATGCTGCAGAAACTACAAGAAGAGAAAAAGATTAATTTGATTACAAGAAAGCGAAGTTCTCCACGTTAGATTGAGAGAGATGGTAAGTGCAGTCTTTCATGCATGAATTAGCCTACGTGAGATTCACATGTCCGCGCTAAGCTTACATTATACAACAAAATCGTTGCCGTCATCATGAGAGACCGAAAAAATGTTGGAAAAAGTACACGAAGTGCTGCCCGGTTTGTACTCGTGCCAATTGTCATAACGCTTGCGAAGGAGAAAGAAAGGAATGAATGTGTCAATGTCCATTCGTCTTACTGTCCGAGTTTACAGCATAACAACGAAAACAAAATAGTGCTGAATGATTGACCCAAATCGTCAACGAGCAACTATATCTTCTCCCATCTCATCGTGTTAAGTAAATAAGTTTACCTCTCGATGATTAGATAGATACTCACCTTTAGTCATCAATTGTTTCGTTTTACCTACCGTTCTTTACAAGGAATGACTGATTGCTCTATTTTTGTTGTAAAAAAAGAGTCGTCTGACCACTATTACTACCGTTATTAGATCATTCGAAATACAAAGCTTAAGGTGAAACTTAAGTTCACGACCTTCAGATTATGAGAATGTTGCGCCAATCAGTTGCGTTATTAACGCATCTGCTACTGAATGTTGTCAATAAGAATAGTTGCTTTTTTACGCCTTTTAATAAAAAGAATGTTGCTGCGATTGTTAACGAAATGAATTATAAAATGGAATTGAAATGTATTGGAACCTTTTGTTTCCATTATTGTGTGATAGAGTGCTCTGATGAGTGCGATTGTGCCTTTATCGTTACATGCAAAAGCAATTGAATGGTCAGTTCAGTTAAATGCTCCAAAAATATTTTTGCAAAACAATGACAAGTTTCTGTTCTGATAGTTTCTTAAGCTCTCCCCAGTCATTGTTTTACATAGAGTCAAAACCAAGAAAATTAATGATGAGGACGCAATTTATAAATGAATTTCCATAAGCATGCTGCACTTACTTTTATTATCAGAAATCATTTATTGAATGAAGAATTTTTGCAACTATATATTTAAAGAAAATCCATTAATGCGAGGAGGGCAAGGACAATAAGCTGCATCACCACCGGGTGGTCCTGCAGCTCCCACAGGTCCATCCGAGCCGTTTTTCCCAGGTAATCCCGGAAGTCCCGGCATACCTACCAGTCCTACTTCTCCTGGCATGCCTACAACGCCATCAGCTCCAGGTTGTCCTTTTGGTCCTGCTGGTCCTTCCGGTCCAGGAAGCCCTTTTGGTCCAGGTGGACCTCTTCCTTGACCACCATCTTGTCCTGGGATACCTTTAGGACCAATCGAACCTGGTGCACCTAGAATATTTTTCAAAGTCTATTTAAGCAAAAGCGTTTACATTACAACTCCGTTTTTTCAGTCGCTCTAGTATTTCAATACTAATATTTTCACTGTTTTATTTATGCATCTTTAAACAGCAAATAACTAGATAAACTACAAAAATAAACCTTGTGGTCCAGTTTCACCCCTTGGACCTGGAATTCCAGGAGGTCCACTTGCTCCGGGTACTCCTGCTGCTCCTGGTTTGCCAGGTAAACCAGGTTGTCCTCGTAAGCCAACTGGACCTTGTGGACCAGGTTTACCACGTTCACATATAATACAATTTTCCTTAGAAAACAAAGTATTTGGCAGGAAATTACCATCAATCCCAGGGATTCCTGGTAAACCTGGTACTCCATTCAAACCTTTTATTCCTGGAAAGCAAGCAAAAAACTTTCCAAGTCAAAATTGTCGTTAATCTTCAAATGAATCAAGTAAGCACACAATTTGTGGTGATGTTCAGAGTTTTTGCTGTTTTTCAGAAATCATAAATTTCCATAGCAAATATGAAGAATCTCATTGAAATAAACCTGGCTCTCCACGTGGTCCAGGTTCTCCTGCTGGACACTTCTTATTGACTACTTTTGAACTTTGACACTTGCAAGAGTGATGACTCTCCCTTCTGTGCCTGATACTGCGAGGAACTAATAAATCACTATTCTTACTGGCACCTAAACAGTTTGAAAAAATTAACCTACTGCAGATAGCTTAATTAATTAGTACCAAAATTAAGAGTTGAATTCATTGAGCTGATAATGTCTGCAATTAAGAATGCTACCGCTGGTCAACTGCATAATTACAGTCATTTCATGCCATGCATTATTGGCAAGTGTTTTGAATTCGACCATATCGTCCATAACATCGTCATACAAATTGCTGATATCATTGCATAGCGTAATTACCATCATTACACTCATCACAATGATAAGAAAGCTTGCGGTAGACGCCACGCAAACGACGTAGTTTGTTTTCATTTGCTTGGTTGTTCTCAAAAAGGCAATTATACCACACTACATAAAAATTTGAAATCACAAACATGCTTTCAAAATGAATCATATTTCACGCAATCGAAGCAAATGCAGTAGCTAATGATTCTCATTTATTTGTAAGCACTTCCATCAGTGAGAGGACAGAAAGGTTTTCCTAAAAAGTAGCTTTTGAGAGTAATCTTCACTACACAATTGTAATTCTACATGACTTCGTCTTCACCACCTTTTTCTGCTGTATTTTCTTGATTTCTACTTAGAAAGCATTTGTTTATGAAAACAATTCAAGTTGTTCTGACAAATTTGATCGGTTGTTTACTCTTGAATTATCATTATCAATGAATAATTTATAAAGTTACACTTGTATCCATATTTTTGCTTACCTCTTGAACGCATATAAAAAGTGAAACAACATTCTTATTAATGATTGCTGAATTCATAATTTGGTACAAATGATATCATTATGGACAATAATTATCTTTTATTCAAAAAGTGATAATTGTTGCCACTATCTCGATATTAACGGTAATACTGATAATAATACTTGTAATAATAGCAAAAAATTATGACCAGTAACAATTAGTTATCTTTTTGTTATTATTATTATTGTCATTATTATTATTATTATTATCATTATCATTATTATTATTAATACAAAGTCTCTTTTTTATTATTATAAAAAAATAAAACGATATTTGATCTATTCACTATATTGGGTTAAAAGACTGTTTATCATAGCTCAAAAAAACTTTACCTTAATTAAGTTTTGAATGAAAAAAAGAAGCTATGTTTTGTTTTTATCAACGAAAATTGTAGTTTTTCTCAAATTCAAATAATTGAATTTTGAAAGGAAACAAAATGAAAGAGGAAAAAATAAACGCAGTTTTGGAGTATAATGCAATTTGAAAAGTTTTTATATGACCTAAAGGTGGGACTGATATTAGGCAAGAAATTACTAAAATTTCAATTTAGATCTCATTAAATGGCCCCACCTTCCAATAGAATTTCTTGAATTCTGGTTTCACTTCCTTCCATCGGGAGGGTAATTAGATGGAAACAACAAACAATGCAGTATGACCTACTAAGCTTAAAAAATGGATATCCTGGTGGCTATTCAGAAACTCTCCTTCTTAATTTACTCGCTTTTCCGTGTTTCCATGACTAATATTCTGTTCTACTTTATTTCAAAATTGCCATAATTTTCTTTTGCAAATACTATCATTTTTGTTTTGGCAGTCACAGATTTAAATTAAATTTCTTTTATGACTTATTTTTTTATTCAATTCCTTCATATTTTTTGCTTTTTATCGGGTAATGAAACAAAAATAATGACTTCGCTGGTCAATATTACATATGTTGACACATAATTTTATTTTCTGCCCAATTTTTTTCTTATTTTTTGGTTCAAAAAGAGAGATTTTTATAGGTTGCAATATAGGAGCGACCAAAAAAAGGTTAGCACATCTTCGAGTGTCACATTCATTTTGGATGCCAAATTCAATTTGCTTAATTTTTGAAGATCTGAACTAAATGTGATTTCAGTTGCAAAAAAGAATATGATTCTTAGTAAAACTAGAAGAGCTGAAGACTAATGATAGTATTTAAAAATTCTCAAAGATGAGAGCATTCAATTTTTAAAAGTCCAACGATGTTCTAATTACAATAACGTTTTTATAGATATGGCAAATTCACTTAAAAATAACTTAAATCAAATTGAGTAATAGTTATTTAATGCTTTCCAAATAGTTTTCAAATTGAATGTGTTAAAGCAAGCTGAAATTTTCAAAATATCGTACAAAAAGTTATAGCATTAAAAGCAAAAATTTGCTGAGATTTTCGGAATTAGCAGAAAGTCAAAAGACTGAACAATTCCTGTATTTGCTTTTGCTACAATAGTTGCAGTGTAATATTACCTTATACTTAAATCATCCAAATTTAAATTTTTTTTGTTTTTTAAATATCATATCTATTGACAAATGTATAGCTCATATTTATTTATGTTCCTAATCGTGTCTATTGTACAAATAAATTATAGCAATTAAAAAAGAAGAACACAGTATTTTCGTGACATATTTTAAGTGCAAAAATTTTGTGCACATATTTACATTTGTACACGCGTCATGCATTTCTGCTTTCTGAACGCAAAATGTGGAGCTGGTTGCGAGAATGATGACAAAAATTTTACGTTGGTGGAAGTATTATGCTTATAGCTCTGATAAAATTGTTAAAAAAGATATGAAGTCAAAGTCTTTTTTTCATAATCTTAGATCACTTTATATTTATTTTTTTCCAAATGCAAAAAATATTCTTTTTTTTGAAAATGCAATCTTTAAACTATTTAAAATGAAAATCATAAATTATCATTTGAAACAGGTGGAAACATCAAAAATACGATAATTTGAGTTTTATGATTATAAATTGATTTCATTTTCTGATTTTAATATGCAAATTTTCCATTTGAATGGCCCAACAATGAAAGGAAAACCTTGCGTACACAACTCTTCCCAATAAATAATAATCTTAACGACTGCTTCTGCAGATTGTTATTTTAGATTCATATTATTCATTCAAACAAGTCTTTTTCTGCATCATATATCTCAATTTAATTACTATTCAACTTTAATCAATGAAACTTTCAGTAGAAATTTTTATATTATCAAATTGCGATGAAAAGTAATATTTGTTTAAAATTTATTGAAATTCGACAGTGATTTGTTTTATGAGCTTACAGTGAAACAAAATTTTGAATTTGCATCTTCAGATTTCCAATAAACAACGCTAAATTTACTTCATTTCAATTGTCTATTTTTTTCTTCTTTCTATTTTAGGCAGTATTTACATAATATTTTCTGATTTTGGCATTATAAAATACATTTTGCATCTCACATTATCATTTTTCAGTATGTTTTTTAAACAAACAGTCAATCCATCTCCGCTGTCATTTGTTGAAAATTATCTACTTTTCCAGAACATCATACTCTATGTATGAATCCTTGTGCACTGTATATAATAATTTCTTACTTTTATTTTCATATTTACTTTTATTTTCATATTTTTTTTTATTTTCATATATAATAATTTCTTACTTTTATTTTCATATTAGATTTTATTCGCAAGTGAAGTAAAGGGGATACATTTTGGGAACAGATACAATATTTAAAAAGTAGAAACTTACATATATTTCATTTTTGATCAGAATCTGTATTTTCATCAATATCTCATATCCTAGGTATCTGCTAATATTTTTAATTATATTTTAAAATTGAACTCGCTATGTTCAGCAAACAAAGATTTTCAGCTCTGACAATTTGCAAAAATACAGTGGAAAAAAAAGCATTAAAGATCTTTTTGACGCAAATATTGTCTTTAAAACAAATAAAAATTACGTTGAAAAGTTTCATAAATATTTCTACATGCTGGAACTCAATTTTTTCTAATAAAATGAATTTGAATACTTGGCATAGTAAAGAAAAAGAGCCTAGCAAAAAACGCGTTTCTGTTTTCAAAATCTGTTTAGTTAGTGATAAGGAAATACTGTTTAGTTAGCTGATAAGGAATTACTGATATTGATAAGGATAAATGAATATTCTGAAACAATTGACATATCCATGCAAAGCAAAAACAGTGAAGGATTAAATTTTATTCGCAAGTGAAGTAAAGTAAAGGTTATAAGAATCGTGCATATTGTATCAAAATTAGAAAACGGTAATAAAATTAAGATTAAACTTCAGGAGGCACTGCTTGCAAGTTTACTTATTTGGAGTGCTTCAGTTGTCTTTTGCATGAGTAAAAAGAAGAAGCAACAGTTCCAAGAAAGCATTGTATTGAAAACAACAGGTTTGTTCTTCTTCAAGCTTGACTATGCAAGAAACTTTCTGTTCCCAAAATGTATCCCCAGAAAAGTTGCTGTTATTATCTGTCAGCATAGTTATTCTGAAAGGCTTTTCTTTGATCAGATTTAGTTCTGATATCATAGGATAATAATATTTTTCTGCATAATTTGTCACAAAAATAGAATTCACTCTATCCTTCAATTATTTATTACATCTGACACAATTAATTAACCTACTTATTACCATTTTTTGCCCACTTGAGTATATCAATATTTTTTTAAAGTCATATATTTTTACGTATTATTTTTAAGTAAAAGCTCAAAATATGTGGTGATAATAAACCTGCCATTCACGTAATTAATATTTTGTTTTGAAAATTTTACATGAGTTAACATAATTTAGCATGAAATAACGATTATTTTTGAAGTAATCTGTACATAAAATTCATATTTTCAGAATCAAAAAGTGATGTAAGTTTTCAATTTGCAATTTTACACACTTGAAAATTTTCACGATTTTTTGTTCATTACAATCTAAAAACGCTTATTTTGAATGTTTTGCTATATTTTAACTTGCAAATATTAAATTCATTTATTTTAAAATAATTTAAAATATTTGCGTAAAACAAGAAACAATCATTTATAGCTTTTTTTTTCAGAAATCAAACACTTAAAACATTGTGACTTAAGTTTTCAGAGATAATTTTACTCAAATTTAATTTATGAAATGAATTTTGAAATGAAAGTTGCTTAACTTGCTCAACTTTTCAAATGTTCAGCTCGAATAAAAAATCTTTCGGACATGCTTTGAATGAACAGTTTAGAGTAAACTAAGTCATGCTATACTGAAACCCATCTAATTTCTAGTCTGGAAAGCAGAAAAAATTTAATAAAAGCTGATGAAGATTAAATTTTTAATTCACTTTTTCTATTAAAAAAAAATTGACTACAAATAAAAGCAATCTTCTTTTGATGATTGAAATGTAAATTTTATGAGGATTTTGAAGCTGCAAATGTTGCAAACAGATTGTGATTCTGTTTGTGTCAAAAAATCATAGATAAGTAATTTCTTTGTGAAAAAGCTGAAATTACTGAAGTATGAATTATAGCGAAACACAAGGCCACAACAAATACAACAACAAATAAAGCAAAAACAAGATGTACAGGAAGTATCGCAACAATCGGAAAAAGTTTAAAAAAGCCTTTGAAATTTCCCAAGCAAAACCTTTTCCAATTTTTTAACGAAAACAAAAATCACAAAATATAAATTTATATTGACAAAATTAAAAAAAGCTGTCTCAGTTGCAGTTCTTTTTTCCCCTATTAAAATTTGACAATTTTAGTCAGGCCTAAATATTTCGACTAATCCTTTTCAAATTTTAATTAGAGAAAAACCTTCAAATTAAGTGTAAGTGTTAATAAAGGAAATTCGATATTATAATTAACTTAATTTGTTTAAGCAACCAATAGTTGAAAAAACATTAGTAATAGATGTTGGCCATCAGCAGAGTGAAAAAGATCACAAATCCAATCCTTGCCGTGAGAAAGGTCTACTAAATAGAGCATAATTTTCAACTTTGTGCTCATAATCCGATAGATTGTTGAACACTTTTTGATTTCAAATAAATGAATAATCTCTAAAAATCATATAATTCCAATTTATTCACTGCGTAATCAGTAAGCTAAGCCAAAAATAGATGTATTTTATGTACGTAGAACTCCTTTTTTTCCTCAATCAAATGAATTTCAGATGGAAAAGGTGAAGAAAATAAACAAGAAAAGGTTAATAATTTTCACGCTTTGATTACATTCGTAGTTAAGAAATTACACAAGAAGGAGAATCATTAGATAAAACAAAGCTGATATAATGAAGTAAATTTTACTGAATTGAACTGATTGATTGATTGACTTTTGAGAATTGTACTGCGATTTGCTCAGGAGTGATAGAAAAGACAGCAAATTTAATTGCTGTTTTTTCCATCACTTAATAAATTACACAAGAAGGAGAATCACAAAATATAAATTTATATTGACAAAATTTAAAAAAGCTGTCTCAGTTGTAGTTCTTTTTTAAAATATTAAATTTGCTGTTTTTTCTATCGCTTACAGACATTCCTAGCCATTGCAAAAATTGATTTCGATACACTTAGAGTGTTTTTTGAAACAAAATTCGCAATTAAGTGATTATCTAGAAAGCATTCAGGAATGCAAAACACAAGACACGACAGTAAAGGCAAGTAGCGATGTTGAATACACGCAAAGGACATCGGAAGAAATGCCTCATCAGTCAAGTGAACAACAGATTAGACCGTATCGCATTTAATTTTAGAGCTTAATTATTTTGTTACTTTTTAGATATAGAGAAGAAAAAATAATCTAACAGTAAATATTCTCAATTATCAAAAATGATCAAAACAAAAAGAACTATCAACTAAGGAAAGTTGCTTAATTGGATGACATTTTTGATTAATTAGTACGTTTAAAAATGCAATACTGTGCAGTTCTGAGGAAAGCTCAAATAAAGAGAGTTCCGAAGAATCTCAGGCCAATTCCAAAGTGAGTTTAAAAGATTCAAATAAAGGAAATAATACTGGCTCCAAAGAAAATTCACTCTCTGCCACTCAAGCTTAGCACAATTATTGAAGTGATGGCATATAAGACGGATCACCCCACGGTAAATGATCAACAATAGCATTATCTTTAACAAACACTAATCGTTTGAACATTTCTTCATCTCAAGCATTATTTCAAAACACCATTTGAAGCAAGGACAAATTTAGACCTGTGATTTCAGAATAGAATCTACTTCACTCAATACACGAATCTACAAATTCCAGATTACTCCCATTTGCTTCTCTCACAATAATTCCGATTCTTCCGCCCATACAGAAACTCCTTCCTCAATGCATTGATGCTTCGGCCGAAAAGATGATTACATTCACTACAAAGCCATAATATAAATTTTAACTAAAAATGTGATGCAGCTTCTAGTATGTTTATTAATGAAATACTTTATTGTTGAAACATCCTCAAATAAGACTTCACTGGAAACATGCACAGTATAAGCTACAAATTATGACCCAACATTTCAAGCTGTTGTGAAAACTTCCTAGCATGACTGAAATATACTTTCATTCCATATCAATTTATATAACTACTACATAAACTGCAAGCAAAGTTTGTTCACTGAAACAAAACTAACAGTGCTAAAAATGTGAAAAGACAGTAAACAAATCATAGAAAAGTACAAAGACGACAATCTCCAAAAATAAGAGTCTGACCATTACTTGAAAAATAACAGATTAGAATTCACAGCTATAAAAATCACATAAATTTAAAAAATTTCACTGATTTGTGAATTATATTAAAAAATTAAGAATCTTTATTGATGAGCCTTTATTACAAATTGACCAAGAGTTACAGGGTAATTTTAATCTATCTTCAGTCGAGGTTTATTCACAAATTCTTCGCCATTGATAAATATGAACAGCATTAATGCCAAAAAAATTAAAAGCCAAAATATAGTTGCAGTCACGTTTTCTGAAAACAAAAGTACATATTTCGCTTGAAAAAACAACTAATTCCTTACACCTGCTCAAAAATCAGTACAAAATAATTCCGATATTCTCAAGATCAAAAAATTAATACACAATAATTGTCAATACTTTCAAGATGTATTTGGTTCATATTATATAAGATTAATGACATCAGTTCAAATCATTTCAAGAGATGATATTTAAAATTATACGCCAGATACCAAGAATTTAAACTTTTTAATGATTATGAAAGGATAAAGTGTAATTCATGTTCAAAAACAGAGTTTTACCAGCTACTAAAATGCAAAGAATAGTCATCGCAGCAGCAAAAATTGCACCCACAATAGCAGCACCATGATAATCAAGACTAAGCACTGTAGTTTCGAAATTAGATGGTAAATTATTGGGATCAACTCGGAAATTTCCAAGGAAAAAATCGATTGCATCCTGAAGTCATCTTCATGCAAACATTATATTAAATAATCTCGTATCTAATTATAACATTTTATAAATTATAACTGAATTCTTTAATGCGCTAAAATGTATGAACGCTTGTGAGAAAAGTAAGAAATTTCAAACCTGTTTATATCCATCTGCAAAATTGTTACGGTAGTAACGAGTAATAGCATTCACAAGATCATTACATGCTCCAGAATAAGTTCGTTTACCGAAGCGTGTATAATCAGCCTGCAAGATGAATTTTCACATCAGTAATTCTTATGAATTATATAACTAGAACCCACAGTAGCACTGACAACAAAAAACCATACATAATTTCCTCATAATTACCAGACTATGTAGACCAAGAAAACTGCAAATAAGTGATTTTCTAAAAAGCGTAATCGGATTCATAAAGTAGGATAAATGAAAAGTGCTGAAATATATTTACATTAAAGAGCCGCAATTCAATTGTCATTACTTAAAAAATTAGCACATGACTTCCATTACATTTCTCCCTCCTGCCACAAATATAAAAATCATCACACTTTCAAAGCTCCTGTTCCTGCATACTGAAGACTGCATTCATCTCCATTATCGGCCCAAACTAAAAAGAGCATATACATACTACTTAGATAATACAATTGACTTTCAAATATCACTAAAGATAAATAAATGCATACTTCTTTTGAAAATAGCAGATAATTCGGGGAAACTGTCCACTTCGCAGCCATTACCAATAATCCTAATGAACGACAGTTGATCTTTCAATGATTCCTAAAAAAGATATTTCACGTAATGGTGGGAGTCAACTAGCAGTTCTGTCTCATGTAAAGGAGTTGAGCAGAGGTTCGCTTTTAAATAATAGAGCAATTATTGCTTAGCCAAAATTTATGATAATTTACTTTGCTTGTATTACTTATAATACAATAGAGTACCTACTTTTGATATATAGAATAGTATTATCAATCACTAAACATCACTGGTTCGATGACAACAGACACAAAATACAAGTGAAAAACACAGACAAAATATATATAAACCTTAGCTAACATTGATTGAGTCACATTAGTCCTATCCAAACAATCCATGCAATTGGTGCGGAAAAATCCTTTCTGTCTTTGCATACGCTCGGGGCTATTTATAAATGATGCAAAAAATCTGAAGAAAAAAGTTGCTGCAGGAAATTTAGTTCGAGCGCTTAATTTTACTCAACTGGTTTGCTCAGCTTTTCTGGTAATATATTTAGTATTAAAAGATAGCGACAAATTAAAAGAAAGTTATTTCAATCCATATATAAAAAAGATATACCCAAATTCAGTAAGTTCAGGTCGTAACTGTGTTTTTAGCATATCCAAATGACCCCAACTAAACACGCCACACTCTTTATGAAAATCAAAAGCATTGAGTCTGAAAAATTCAAAGAACGAATTTTGAATACATACATAAAAGTGGGATATTAGATTTCTCAATACAACATTATTTATGATTCATTCTCCTACATAGGACAAGGCATGAAAAAATTTCTTAATTCATTTAACATCTTCTAGAATTTAATTACCTCACAAAATCTAAGTGCGTACGCATGACAACTCGTTCAAGTTCTCCACCAAGACGTCTTTCACGTCCACGTTGATTAACTAAATTCACGATCACCTAAAATATAGTACTGAAATATATAATTATAAACTGGTATCTTCAACAAAAAATCTACCACGATTCTGTGCTTTTTCAAAGCACATGAATTTAAATGTTATTTCTACAAACAAAAGCGGAATAAACTACAATTTCAATATCTAATATCACATCTTTCATATCTAAAAAACAGAGAAGCGATGAGAATATTTTAAGATACAATAAGATAAGAGTGTGTTCACAAAAAAATAAAACTCAGAGATCCTAAGGCAGGAAACTAAGAATCAAGAAAGTACCATTCTCGAGATGCGTTAAACAAACCTTCTTTTAATTTTTTTGATAAAGTAACATTTTGCCAAATTTTCTTACATGTTTTCCTCCATAAATATTGCGCTGCATCATCATATGTCGTTGGAAAGCTTCCGTTTGATCATCGACAGGATTAAGTAACGGTTCTGGCTGCCACTGAAGATTCGGTTTCTGCGACCAATATAAGGGTATTGATCCCCTCATCTAAAAACTATAGAGAATGCAACTGAACATTTATAAATTCATCCAAGACATAAGCTTATCCAAGACAAGCTTTTTTGTCACCATTTCGCTGGACTGGAAACCATAAAACGTAGGTAATGTCCAAAATAATCTAATTTTCACTTGCACAAATGCTGTCAAACATCGTTGTTTCGAATCACCATCCATATCATATTCTACTATTTGCTCCGTTTCGACATAATTTGCTGAATTTCCATCCACACCCACTCCCCTCATATTGAACCTTGTACCAGCTCTAAAACTGTTAGATTTGCTTTTGCTATACTTAATTCTTGATTTTGGCCAAAAAGCTAGAAAAATTAGCAATATTAGCAATATATAACACTATAAACCTGTAAACAGATCTTCTGGAAATAATGCAAAGTTGAAAGACATGTCCATTAACAACACATCGGCTCACATCACAAAATCCATGTATTATGGGAAGTATAAAACGATTCAATTCAGGCTTGGTGATAAAAGAAGTGGACAGATAACGATTCCATACGAAACGTTCGTCTGACTTAAATAAAAAAACTTGTACCCAAATAACAGTGAAGAACGAAGCGATTTAATGTGCTTTCGAAAACTCGTTGAATGCAAAAATAAAACAAAAGTGTAATTCCCTTAATATGTCAGTAACTCATGGAACTTAATAAATTTTTTAGATAAAGTTCACATAAAAAATTTCCATTCACATCAATTCATGACATGGATAAAATATATTACACAAGAAATTTGGCAATATGTAAATTTGATACCGATCTTTATGATGTGATGGAGAAACCGAATTGATAATTTTAAGTGAAAATAAAAACTAACTCGATCCATCATAGAGAGCCTTTTGAAGAGAGGTGTAGCATTTTCAGCTAACCACTGAGCTGAATGAGATAAGTCGTACGTGCGAGAAAAATAAAACCCCCCAGATGAGAGAACAAGTTGTATCATTTCAGTAAAATGCTTGTTGTACCAGATCTTAATATTAAATGAAACATGGTGATTTACGCAAACATAAATTGTACATTAATACAAAGAGTAAAATGAAAAAATTACTTGTTTTTCAGTTAAATGCAACACTGTTCTCTCAAAAGGCAAGATTTCTGTTTCGGTTATATTCCATATTTCATTGCCATTTAAAACACCTTTAAGGTTTGCTTTTGTTATTACGATTAGCGCGTTTCCTAAACAAAATTAATTTTTTAAAACTAATTATCAACTGTGCAATATAGCTGAAGCTCGACAAAATTTTCCTCATAACAAAAAGTAATAGTAGGAGTACGCACGAAATATCGAATATCACAGAAACTTATCAAGTCAGTAAACAAAAGCTGACGAACCTGAGACTAGTTTTATGATACCAATAATTCCATGAATAATCTTTACTTCTGCATCGCTTATAGGTAAAGGGTTTTCTGAATTTCCTGTACAAATATGACAATTAACTACACAAATTTGATATAAAATATAAATGAATAAAAGTATGTGAAAATGCGGAACTTTAGGAAAATAATATGATTAACTTACTTATCAAACTTAATTTATTTGAATTACGATCAATTTCCAGATACGAATCAGAAACTAATCCACCATCACGTCCTCTGGGCTGAAGACAAAATCTTTCCGGAAAAATACACCTGAAAGGAGAATCATAGATGTTAGACTGCCGCATATTTATAGCCATCTTTTTATAGATCTTTTTCGATGCAGTTAGTGCCCTTTGTGACTAACCTTATTTTGAATGCGCTTAAAAGGTTCAACAGCAAGAGTAAAAAGTTAAATGTAAACTCAGTTCAAGAACTACTAATTCGAAGAAATATTCGCTAACAAATTCAGCTGTTCGTAGATCTCAGTTGGTCCTTCCATCGGCTTCAAGTGATCAAAACGAAGTTTAACAGGCCTCCGTGAATCATCCAACTTCTTAAAACACATCGTTCACTTTTTCGTTCTTAATGATGATTAAATAATAGAATAAAACCAAATAGAAAGATAGAGGAATCGAAATGTAGTAAATGTCAAAACCATTAAAGAAAATCACAGACATACTTCTACCTCTGCTTTCGAATCTGGAACTTGTCTTGCTTTGCTCCTACTACCTCTTTGACTTTTACTCACTTTTCTTCCTGAAACAAGTAATTGCACAAATACAGATGTCAATTTATTTCTTCAAAATTTAGCAACTTGGTTCTCCAACCTAAGAGCAATTTGCGAAGTTCTAAACATACTATAAATGTTTATTTATGATTGCTGAAATTTTAGTATCACCATTGTGTCTCATCAAATATCTCTTGATTCACTTTTTAGTGATTTTCAGCTTTCACAAAATCATCTTCAAGCTTAGTCTATAGAGCTGACATTCTCATTAGTGCGCAGTCTTTACTTATGAGTGCTGAAATTGTTTTTCTTCTTGTGGATGTTTACTTTTACTTTTTTTCAATTTTTGTTCTTATTGTGTCTATAGAATATTGTTTAAAATGCTTTTCATCACATCAATTACGCAATCTGTTTTTTTCTTGTACTATTAACTTAATTCTTGGATAGCATGAGTGAGATATTTAGGCATTCATCAGTATGTTTAATTGTTCACAGTTGAATTATTTTAACGATTTACCTGCTTCTAGCAAGCTGGTTTTCTTTTTTGCTCTCTGTAAATTCTGTCTGCTTCTTTTGGGGGTTTTCAACATCATAACTTAATCTTTTTTACGTTTGCTAGAATTGAAGTGAAAAGCATAAAAGTTGAACGAAGCAAATAGGTCACCTTTGTTTGAAAAATAACAAATGGTGCAAAACTAGACTTCTGTAGTGTTTTTAATGCTGCTCCATCATTTTACATAATCATAAAATTTGAATCATTTTTAATACATTTGTGACGAATTTTGCGAAACTAGCAACTTATCAAATGCCAAATAATTAGTCTTGGTTATGTTTTGAAACTATCATTGTGTTATTTATATCTCACATTTTCTACTTTAATTACTAGTAATTTTATTTTTGATTTGTTAAAGTTATTCATTTTAGAAAATAAATATCAGTTCTTTTTCATTAAATTCAACTTAATTTTTTAGTCATTTTGATCAAAGTTTGGGTTAATCGCAGGATATGGCTGAAGTGCGTGACATACCCTCTGGAACGTATAATCTCAAACTGGGCGAATCATTCAATGACAGAAGAGAGAAATCTCTCTATCACACTCTCCGATGTATGACTCACACTTGAAAATGCTTCATGGTTTTATTTATCATATTGTAATTTTACTGTTACTAATTATATATTTGAGAATTAGTATTGTGCCGAAAATTATAGCTTTAAATTATGTCTAAATGGAGATATACTCACGTTTTGAAGTTACTGATACAGTTTCACTTGGCAGAGTGGCTAACCTTGTAAAATGCCTTCTTCATAGGAATGTCCCTTTTCATATTTATCTGTGAATAAGAACTGGATGATTTCTTCATTTTCGACATTGATGATTTTCAGTCGATTTTAAACCAAAGTCTTTGGCAGGTGAAAAGGAAACATTCATTGCATTTGGAGGAAATGGTGATGTGCAGGTAAGTCTTTTTTTTCTGTGTTAAAAAGTTTAGGGTGCCCAAAAAGGTACGAGAATCATGTTCAACTGAATAATTCACTACTAGTAGGCAAAAATCTTTCTTTAGCAGGGTGGAAATAGATGTCAAAATAATGATTGCTCTAAGACTAATCTTGCCTTTTTTGATAGGTAGCAGTGCCTGGTGAAGGAGATGCTTTAACAGTATTTAAAGGGGCTCAGAAGTCAGTGAAAGGGGAAAAAGAATGCTTGCTGTTTTTTGATCATGTAACTGGAGAGATGAGGATTGAAAAGCTCTCGTCTACAATGTCTGTTAAAAAAACTCGGTAATATTTTGTGTTGATAAAAATATCAATATTTTTGTTTCGAAGGAATAATCGCTTTTGTTTCGATTGCGTAACGATTATATTAATTAGAATCTGATGTAATCATTATTCTTTTTAACAGATGTCACACTTTTTGTCGTTAAATTTTCATTTATTTTTGACAGGCCAAGCAAAAATGCATGAAATATATAATGCTATGCATTAAATTGATGTAAAAATCAAGTACAGGAAGTTCCTCCTATATATAATTTTGGTTATAATTTTAACGAATAGTGGGAAGTAGTGACTCGTTATTTTCGCCTCTGTAATTGTCGTTGAGCAAGTTTCCAGAGGTAACGAAGACAGTACCACAATTAAATTACGTGCCGAAATAGATCGATTACGAAACGAAAATAGAGGTAGGTCAGATGATGACATGGAAGAAACGAAGGTATTTATTTGCTGTATGAGTTTATTTCATTCTATTTTTCATGGTTTTTCTGTGAGTAATATCAAGAATGAGCTTGAAGTAACAATGACTGAATAATTATTCTAGATAAAATGGAGAAGCTGCTGTATGTGAGATGAAAGTGCATTAATTGGCAATTTTTGTTCTAGTTTCAATAATACATAGCTTTGATTAGTCAGATTTTGTTAGTTTTAACCAAATATTTATTTCAACTATTGTTATCTGCAAGAAATGTAAGAGTTTTTCCTTATTTTTAGAGCTCAAGTACTTCCTCGTCACTCACATCATCAGAATCTGGTGAATCCGATTCAGAATCTGATGATGAGATCAGGAAACCAGTTCCTTTACAGTCGAAAAATGAACATAGTAGCGACGAAGATCCCAGAAGTAGAAGTAGCGATAGCGAAGATGAAGATTTACAAGGTAAAAAATATGTTTCATAGTTTATTGTCACTTTAAAACAATCTATGTAGTTTACAGCTTGAAAATTATTACTTCTTTCGCATTTAATAACAGATTAAGTTGTTTCCTTATGTTTTCCAATTTTAGATCTTGTCGTCGCGAATACTGTCCGGATTTTGTATTGCATGTTTCCGAGACTTTTATTTTTCCAATTTGTTTTCATAACTTCTTAAAACGTGTGACTTAGAATTGGAACATTTTAGATTTATAATATTAATGAAAAAAAATTGTTTAAGAAGCTCTCGAACAGCAGTTACGATCAGATTCGATGCCATCAATTGATGATACTACAACAAAACAAATTAAATCATACCCACCTCCATCAACGCTTTTGGTTAACAGTAATACAAAGAAACTGCTACATGACGATCTGCAACTGAGTGAAAGTTCAGATGAAGATTAAGATTTCTTTTGCAGGAGTATAAGAAATGCTTGGCTTTGAAACTTGGATATCATTTGAATTTACTGCTTGTAGCATTGTTCATTTCATTTATATTAGGAAAAATTTCTTTTCGAGGAGTGTAAAAAGTAATTCCCGACGGTTTTCAGAGTTGTCATCCATAATCACTTTGTTTGAATGTAATTGAAAGCTGTTCCTACAAAATAAATTTTCAAGATATATAGGGTGAAAACGTGCTGTCATTCATATAGCTTCTAATTTTTTATCCGTATTATTTTTTGTCCCTATTTCTGTCTTATTTTGTGAGTCTTGAAATGTGCTCATATAGTGATGGGATGTAAGTACACGTCTTGTATTAATCTCTTTTTACTGATGCAAAATAAATTACATTTCACAAAAAACATAGATGTTTTCGAATCGTAAGAATTGTGAAGTCATTTACATTGGATACTAAAACTTTTAAGTGGTTTTTATACCACGAATACCATTGTCGCAGTACACAAAATATGTGTTAAACTTTTTTTATCTACTATTATTTACATCAGATAGATGATTCGTCAGAAATCCTTTCTTTTTGAAATCGAGTAGTAGATTAAAAAAAATTAAATTTTCTAAATGTTTTTTCGGATTATGGTAAAGGAAAAAATCTGAAGATATATAATATGGTTAAGTAACGGTTATTGTCCGTGTTTTGTCTAAAAAAAAAATGTGATTTCGATCATTCATTAACTTGTGAGAATCATCATGTGAATTTAATTTAGAGACTAATTGTTAACAAATGCCTTACACATTAAAAATTTTTATTAATGCATCACGGCTAAATATATAGATATATGTATATATAGTTTGAACATTTTCAATAACATTAAAATGCGTAATCTAACTTTGCATCCATTGCTGTTATATATATCACTTTTAGATGGTGAAATCAAAAGTACTATAATACATATTCATGCGGAAGGAGAAATATTAGGAACTGATACAGTTTAGATTTTTCATCATTGTTAAAATTATGAGAAATGAAGAAAAAGACAAACTTGGTTGCTAAAGTTACTTCATGTAGTGCTTACACTAAATTAAGCTAACTTTCCTGCCTGGGATGAAACTAAAGCACAGCAAACCATCAGATTGAAAAGCACTCGAGTTAGCTAACAAGATTTTTGTCCCTTTGCGTAATACTTTGGTTCCATTTGAGAGAATGTTTTGTTTTGCAATTATTTCCTGAACGACTGCCAGTTATTGAAAAAAAATTAACTGAGCATTCGATGATAACTCATTACAAGTTATTCGAAAATAAAAACATCGTCACTCGTGTTTCATTTTTGATACTTGCTTAATATACTAGGCACTAGTGAGGGTGCCACCCGGTTGCTCGTCGAAGAGCTTAAGAGTTCTTGTACGTCTCACTGAAACAAGCAAACTTTCACATCTGAGTAGTTGTCATTTAAACTTATAAAGACTTCAGAATATAAATAACCATATAAGTAACCGTATAGGTATTACCATATTCAGTTTTACCAGTAAATATTGGAGTGCAGAAAGCAACTTACGACTTCACTATTTATATTAATAGTATGTCAAAAAATGGCAAGATGATAGGAGTTATAGCAGTGAATTATAGAAAAAAGGATTTGTAGCCTTAATTATAGAAAAAATTACGATGACATCTGATTAGTCACATCATAATCTAATTTGATGAACAGTGGATCTGAAGAGGGTAGTGATTATGCTCAACTTAAGCTCCTATTTTAATTTTTTAAGTACCGCTTCATGAGGAATTACTATAAGGAGACTTACAAGATTTGCGATTGAACTGCCTAGCTTTGCGACGATGGTCTCTTGGCTCACTTTGGATGGTGGCGGCTTTCACCAAACCGTCAAGGATCTCGTCATCAGGAGATTCTTGTCCAGGACTTACAACATCCACCGGTCGTGTAAGCGACTTTAGAGCTACAAGCATCAATAAGGTAAAGAGTTTCCTAGCGTAATTTCTATTCTACCGACTGAGGATTTTAAAAAAGTGATAGTAAGCACTTACCTTCCCGCTGACCTATTACCCCAGATGACGTTCGATCAGGAGCAGCTCTAACTCTCGTCCTCTTCATTGCATCGTCATTGTTTCCACCCGTCAACATGCGAGACATCGCTTCATGTCGCTTCAAATTTAAATATTCACATGAAAAGTTGGATAAAGGAGATGATTTATTCCATAACAAGAAAAATTCTAAAATAGGGGTAGGATAATAAGAGTGAGTTACCTGCTCTGCATTCATTTGTACTGGAGCGCGTCTAGGGATTCTGTTTCCATTTAATTCCACATTATCCTTGACGTTCTGACTTTCCAATACCCACATCTTACCTCTAGTTTTATTCCGTTCCCGCTTATCTGCGAGACGTTTCCGCTGTTGCAAAATTTTATCTCGTGTTGTGCGGTATTCGAGAGCAAATTCATTGACCATCTTGAAAACACTCATCGGTTTTAACTTGGGTACTTCCTGCACGCTGTATCCAAAAAAGAGTAGAAAGGCATGCCACCTATAAGTTTACGACACGATTTGCTTCATTAAAAGTGATAGATAAATATGTATTTGTTAATAATGATGATCATAAGGCTAACTAACCAACCTATTGAAAGCAATTCTGTAGATTGCTTTCAGTTGATGGATTCGTTGTGCAACATCGTTTAAATAATCGTTGATTTTTTGCTTCATTGATGACGAGCTGTCGTTTTTGCTGATTTTTCCCAAGTAATCCCATGATGCTTTGCAGTCGTGTTCTAATTTTTTAAGGTTCGATTCTAACTCATCATAGTCGAACTGCAAAAGTCATCATATAGGTCAACATTTCTAAGCATAGTGACATATTTTTAGGAACTTAACTTTTTATTACGTCGACATTTTGCTTTTTGTGACTTCTACACTCATGTCTACAAACACATTATGACTAACTGATCCCATTTTTGTTCACATTTTCCCGTGCCAGCACAAAAATAGAATAGCAATTTTTGATGAACAATAAAGTTACCCTAGCAGTTCGAGCGACTGCACCAAATTCAGAATATAAGTCGGTGCCATCTGGATAATGCTCAATCATGTATTCAGCTAAATGATAGGTCAATGTATGCTTGTAAACCGGATCTTTCACCTCTGATGCCTTAGTTAAATAATCCAGCTGGAAACCTTTGATCTGAAATACATTATATCCGAATTATAAGCGCAAATTTGTAGAAGGTCTTTCGACGACATTACTAAATATGATACTTCAGTGAGCGATTTTTCGAACTATTTATTAAAAAAATAAGTTGCAAAAAAATTTCTTCCTAAAAGGTTGTCACAAAAAACTAATGCTTTGCTGAAATTTCATTGAAGAAGAATAGAATATTTATGAATAAAGAAAGCAGTACAAATCACTGTTAGTTGTACAAAGTAGATGATAAGCAGAGAGAACTGTTTTATGTTGTACATATATAGTTAGATAGATAGACAGATATAGATGGATAGATATAGATATGAGTTTGAATAATGCTAAAATAAATTACATTGGTCCCATTTAGAGTATTCCCAATAATTAATAACATTCCCATAGCAGTACGAAATGTTTTTGACTCTTCTACTTCCTTCATGGCCAGTTGTAAATCCATCAAAGGTTCAGCAATATCCTTCAAAATTGAAAATATTCAAATTTTGATATGAGTCTGATTTATGTGCCGCTACACATCAGAACATTTTTGAATTAAAGAGATGTGGGGGCAATGTCAAGATCAAACCAAAATTTTAAAGAGCTGAAACCAATAAAGTAATCAATACAAATGTGCAAAACCATCTGGTTTCAGTTCTTTTTAAATGAAAAAACAAATGGCATAGAGTGATATCTCATATAATGGTGGCAAAATGAAGGATACCAGCAAAGTTCCTTGCCTTTTCACAATTTTTATAATCCAGTGTAAACACCCAAAGCCTAAGTCTTTCCAGTAAGCATGGTATTTGGGCAAGTTTTAACAGGAACTGCTCGGCTTGACCTAACGGAACGTCTGGATTTTCCGCCATTTTCAACTCAATTTGTTCTATTTCCGCTGGGCTCGGCATCATTGTACTCAAGATCTTTTCAATACCTTCCTTGTTCAGTACCAATGAATCGAATTTCTAAACAACGATCACATGAGAATTTTTAATCGCAAGGTTTTTCCTCATTATTATTTTTCGCTATTTTCAAAATAAACAATTCCCAGTATAAAATAAGGACAAGGAAGAAAAACAACGACTAAGCTAACATCATAACTGTAGGATTACCATAATCGCGGTTGGAATCACATTTATGGGTGGTAGCTTCGTAAGCCCAATATTAATTGCCTGAGAACGTTTCAAAGGTAGCACTTGTAGAGTTTGCATTCTGTGTTCACCATTGAGGCGCTATAATACGAATAATGTCATATATTAAAACTAAGAATCGTTTATTATTTAAGTATTGTTTCAGTCCGTTATTCAATTGCTTGTCAAGTTCGCCTCAATGATAATAAGTAATACATACACTAAGATTCTCCACATTAAATTTAACATGTATAATTAATTACTTTAATAGCAGAGGTTTCTTTACTCTTTTGTTCGAAAAGTTGTGCCAACTTGTTAGTGTCAATTTGGGGCAAGTCCAACTTATGCCAGAATGTTCCCTTATTTCTAAGTGATGGAACAGGTGGTAATTCAGATTGCGCAGGCTTCCAGTGCAATTTCAGCGTTCCCGTCTTCGACACTGACATTCCTGAGTCAATCAAACTCTTGAAAAAAGCTGTCAACAGAAAAACAAAATTTTAGGCACAAAATCAAACCAATGAACGATAGTGACCATATGCTAACACAAAAATAAATTTTACACCTGGACTAGGATCTCGAGTTGCCTGACTGACACCAACACGAGGAGCCAAAAGAGGTGGAGGTGGAGGTGCTCCCAATGCAACCGGTAATGGTGGTGGTGCTGGAGGTGCGCCTCCTATAGGCACTGAAACTTTTTATCTGAATCAAAAAGTATTTTTGAGACTGGAAAAATTATGCTAGCACATAGTCCAACACTATTAATTAACTTCTTGAAGATGAATATTTCAATACAAAAATTAATCAGCAGTTACGAATAACTTTCCACTCAAACTGGCAAGTATTAAAATGCTGCTTATGCATAACCTTATGCATTAGAAGTACATTACGAAAATACGATAGTAACTCAAAAAACAAAGTAGAAACAAATCTCAACGAGTTTTAAGAACAATACAATTCTTAAAAAAGTAGAACCTGGCGGGATGTCAGCGTTCGCATCTATAGGGAAAAGACCTTTATCCTGTGCAATTGCTGCTAATCGAGCCATCACCAAGGGATCTTGCTCAAACTCATCTTTGTGAAATTCAGAAAAATCCAAATCATTAATAATTAACGGTTTCGACTTGAAATTTTCTGCAGCCTGCAAGCTCCTTTTTAAGTACTGATTACACTGTTATACTCTTAGTTATTTTTTTTACTGAATTTTGAAAGAGAATTTTAAGCAATAATTCAATTTGAAAAATGTTTTCAGATTTTTGGTAATGATAATGCCAAATACAGACTGTAAGTCTTGTTTAGCTGAGCTTCTCAAATATGCATTTATGTTCACACAGTAACCTTGTGTGTTTAATCTCTTTTATCATAACGTCTATAACTAATCCTACTGTTATCAACAGTAAACTGAAAAAACTGCGATTCTAGACATTTTTTTGATCTTTTTCTGATCAACTTTTGAAAAATTAATTTTTTTTTGCAAAATTAGGCTCAAAATTTAGCTCTTGAATCAAATCACAAGTTGATGAGTTAACCTTTTTCCATTGTATTTCGGCTTCATTCTGCTTTGGTTCAAACAATGCAGCATTCTGTTCCCGCTTCAGGGCTCGGCGACGCAATTGCGCCGCAAATGCGTTTCCGCCAACTGCGCTACTATCTTCCTCTTCTTCGTCAACCTGAAATAATGAATTAGTTCCATGAGAAGTTGTACAATGAATATTTTATACCGCGGAAATTTGCTAAAAAAGCATACTTTGGCCTTTGGTGGGGATACTCTCGTCGGTTCCGCTTCTTTCTTAGTCATTTCTGGGAATTCTATTCGTTTGTCTTCAGTTGGAGAGAACAGAGTTGTTGGAAATGATGGCGGAGGAGCTCGAACCTGAGCATGATATTAATACTCTTCAAATAAAACTCATTTTGTTTCTTTAGTGACTTTTTTATGTATTCATTTCTTGTGTTCAAAGGCCAGAAGATATGAACTCTCAGACAATCCCACCGCAGAAAACCTGCCAGTACTCCAAAAAGTATTATTGTATAGCAAGATAGAACAGAAAACTCGCTGCGAAACTAAGGCCATTTGAGAAATTTTCTTAGTACAATCATTCGCGACGGATACAAGATTCTTAAAATTTTGCTAACTATACCAGCCAAGAGTATGCGCATAACATGATAACTTATCAGTGACAAAAACATTGAAGAAATGGATATGATGGAAAATGAAGTCAAGAAAAATCTGGTAACCGGTTTTTCATTTTCTTCGGTATTTTCCATATCTTCCGACTCCTTCCTAGTCAGATCCTGAGCTGATAATAACGTCTGATTATCTGCAGATGATGGCGTTTGTGTTTTCATTTTTGATATATTCTGAAAAGACTTTAATTTTGGAAAGAAAAGAAAACACATGAAGGTAAAAGTAATTATTTTTTCTCAATATCATATTACGCAGTCAGAATTGAAGAACTGATAACTGACAGGATCATAATTGTTGTTGTTAGGTTCAGATTGAGAAGGGATAGATGAGTGTACATCCGAAATTTTGTTTCTCCAAAATGGCGTAACCTTCGATCTGTCATTCACCACTTCACCATTAGAAGTATCAGGGAGAACATTTGTGGATGGTCTGTAAAGGTAAGAGAACAAAATGGTTTAGATTTTTTGGTGACTCAAACGAACGATAATCACTTTAATTGATGCTGGGAAAAATTGAGAAAGTAAAATAGTACAAATCGTAAATGTGTTCTGTAACATTGCTCAATAGCGCAACTTTTTAATTTCAATGAATAATAACTTAAATTCTGACTTTTATGAAAACATAACATACAATTCAAACTTTTGAATATTATTGTTGACAGCATTAAGCTTATGAAAATTATAATGCTCCTGCTGGCGAGCCAAGGATTCCTGATGTCGCCGGCGAATTGCGCTCCTTCGATTAACCGATGGCGATGCCTGCACTCTGTAATCATTTATGGATCATAACAATATGAATATTATTGATCTGTTACTAATTGCATATCATTGATAAAACATTTAATGTGGAATCGTCAATACATGATGCTAATTATGCCCATTGTTATTAAATAAAGAAAGAGTAATGTTAATAGTAATAATATTTTTCAGCAAATAACTTCAGATATACTACAATATTTTTTGAAGAGAAGTGTAAAATCTCGCTGACATTTGACCTTGAAAAATGCAGCAAGGTTATTAATACCCTTTATAGTTGTTATTTAATAAATCAATAAATCAAATAAATGCCTCATTTTAACAACGCTTTCATCACTACTTTCGGCTTCATCCTCTTGTTTGAGTACTTTTTCATAAAGTTTGCACTGGTCTTTGAGATCTTTGTGGCCAAGTTTCAGCATTTGCTTCATAGCATTTTCCAAGCCTTGCGATTCCAAAGCATCCACAACATCGTAATAAGTATCCTGCACAATGAGTTTGTATTGAAAATGAATGCTATGCATCACAGTAAAAATCTAATGTTCATTTTCTTAAATAATTAATTGGTTAACTTGGCAAGCTGAGCTTAAAGTATGCACACCTTAAAATTTGCATACAAGTAAGATAAATGAAGTAAAAGTAAGCAGACATGCTTACTTGGACATGACTGAAATGTGTTCACCTTTGATGAAATTACCTGATCAGCCACACCATTTAGTGTTTTATTGATAATCGTCATTCCATAGGTAAGCATTTCTACATCATTTGCATCTTCTTCATTAAGCACTTTCATCAAAGCAAACCAGTCAGGTCGATCTATTTGCAAGTAAAATTATATTTTTGCCAATCGAAATATCCATCTCCAAATATGCCTTTAGGCATTGTAAAAAACCCAATGCAAACAAAACTTGAAAAAAAACACATAAAAATATATCATTTTGGCATCTCACTTCCATTTCAAAACGTTCACATTCATATCCTTGAAAAAAAAATTACTTCTGTTTTTGTCGATTTTAGAAACGGCCGACATCAACAAAAGCGCATTGTGATCCGTATATTCGATAAATACTAGCAATAACTTCAAAGCAGTTTTCACCACTAATCGGTACTAAAATTATACCAGATTACCGAATAAATCGCGTGTATCATATTTTTGATTCACCTCGTCCAATTTAGCTCTTTCGTTAAAACAAAACTGATTATTAGTAACAATGCTTCTTAAGCTCTTCGAACTACATAATCATGTAAAATATTCAATTTGATCATTCAAAAGTAAGTGAGTACTTTGTTTGTTTATTAGTCAATTTTTGTTAAAAACTGAATAATAAAATAATCTCTGAACGGTATCTTTCTGAAAAGAAGTACTGATCAACTTCTGTCCTCAAACTAAATGAGCAATTTAATAAGAATGTCGGGAAAATGCAGAAAAACAATTGAAATTCAGCGCAATTTTCAGGAGGAGCACAATATGATTTCCCCGAATTGGGTAAATAAAATAATAAGACAAAAGTTCATGTGCTGAATTTCTAGTGAAAATATTGAGCAATGCAAATCTCTACTCCATTTTTATAGGTCAATAAATAAAATCGAAAAGTCTATTTTTTTATGCATACATATAAGATTTATACAGATATGACGGATTTTTAAGATTAAGAAGTGATAAGATAAAATGTAATTGCGAGAATATAGACAAAAAGTGACTAATTTTAAAGCTAAGCAAAGCAGAAGTCGTCTATTCATCCAACAGATGAATGAGCCAATTTTACCCTTCGAATTCTGAGAGCAATCAGATCTACTTCCATTTCCTCATGGTGAGGAAATTCTATAGAAAGGGGCCAGGAAAGGATTACGTTTGAAAGAGGACTGAGGTGTAAACAGGTCGTTCGTTCATCTTTGTCTATAGAAATAGTGCGAGATATTATCCAAGTAAAGGTCATTTTAACAAATTCAACTTGTTAAGATTTGAAAGAATTATCAGCTAATAACGTAGAATAATTAATTTTTATCAGTTATTGACTGATTACTAATTTTATCACAAACTGCATTTATCATTTTGAAACTGATTCAATTAAAATTCGTGGCACAGTGTTTTTTATGGAAAATGTGCTGACAAATCAAGCTTGCATCAAAACAATCAAGAAATTTGGATAATGCATCAAATTACATCCTTGATCTGTAATAAACGATGACTTTTAAGGTTTTTACTTTTGGAAAACTCAAGCTGGTCATCCACTGATTTTCTTCTTCTTTTAAATCTTGTTTTATTCAAATTTAAAAAGCTTGTAATTCATAAACTAGAATTACCGATGAATCGAGCAACTCATACAGCCATTGAATCGTGGCAATGTGAGCAATGATACCATTCATACCGTCCACATAAAGCATAACTTGACCTAATGCTGTAAAAGTGAGATATTAAGAAGTGGCATATTCAGCACATGTGGATTGTGAAAACTCCAACTTCAGATTTCGTAGTCAGTAAAATACATTTGTCAGATGCATATTACAGATGAAGTTTTTCCTTTTTATAATTTGGACAAACTAGTAAGTAACGAAATATTCAATATTTTCCCTGAAATAATAATGCAATACATGACAAAATGTTTGACTCCAAAGAACATAGCGAAATTCGCTTGTACAGTAATGTTACTGTAATGAAAATAATCCATTAGAAATTACAGCATGTCATCTAAGAACAATCTTTAGTTGGAAGATCAAAACATTAGTGATTTCATTCCTGCTAAAGTTTGGATGCGCTTGTTTGAGATTTTTTTTAAAAGAAAAAATTGCGACTATTTTAAAATAACTTTTTTTACTATTTAAAAGAAACTAACTTTTCACACGCCTCGTTGTAATCAAAGAATCGAAAATAATAAAAGCCTACCTCTAAGAATATAATTCTGATGATTCTGATCAGCATGCCTTCCAAGCTTTATCAAACACTCTAAACCTCCGTTCTGTACAAATTCATGCACTAAATCTTTGTCATCCTAAAAATTAATTTGCCATCTACTAGAGAATATTATACTTCAAATCTTAAATTCAATACAGAAGTGACCAGTTACCTGAAAAATTTGTTTCAGTGAAAAAAGAGCTCTTCGCTGGTCACGGCCGTTCGAATAGAGCAATTTATCTGCAACTTTGTTCTGTTTGTTTTTCTCTTAGTTAAATTCAGACTAAATTATCTTGACATTTCTGAAACCTTAAACCTTGAATATTGATCCCGATTATTTGTGTAATAAAAAGCTGCTGCCCAAAAAATAAACATTCACAATTTCTTACCAATGATCGCCTTCACTCTAAGACTGGTTTGGGTTCGGACGACCAAACTGTTTCGTCTACTGCAAAAATTAAAAATTCTGTCACATAAATACACAACAAAAAATATACTCTCATCTCTTTTCTCCACCAAAACTGCAAATTTCGGTGCTTTTTCATATTCATTCATTTTTGCCATACAAAATAAATTAAAAAAAAAAAAGATCATAATGTGAGATCGATTCATGACAGCGGCAAAATAACTTTTAAAAAACTCATTTTCCTAAAATAAAATTTTCAGTGATCCATTTGTTTTTTATTTTATTAGTAGTGATCTGTTTTATCTTCATAAATAACAATATCCACTATTGTTGAAAGAAAAATATTGTACTGAATGACCCCATCTCCAACGTCTTATCTATTTGACAGTTAAAAATACCAAAATGTGAAATGAATGATTCTCTCATTTCAAAAATGCCAAAAAATATGCCGCTTCTTGAAAGATGAAAGTTTCAATAAAGTTTTATAAAGATAAGAACCTTATCTCTGAATACTCTGATACAGATACATCTTCTTGATCACAACAGTATAAGTCACAAGGCAAACTGAGAGAATGACGCCACTTTCCCGATCTTTCAACGACTGAATCAGTCTTTATTGTATCGAAAGAACTTTTGCGAGAATCGGTGCCGCATCCAGAATCACTGCTATGATCACGGTTATTGCGATGATAACTTTTGCACGGAATTAATACTGAATTGCCCACCGATGGGGAACCTTCTCCAAGTTTTACTGGATTCGCTACTGTTTCTTCTGCCGGTAAGAGATCCGAAAATGTTTCCTTATACGTCCTAATTGGCTTCAATGGTGGGATATGTCTTGACTTATGAATTTGCTGAGTACTCAGCTTTGATTTGTCAATTTTTTGGGTTGAAATCGATGCTGATTTGTTGTTATTGATGAATCGAGGAACTACCAGTCTCTTGGGAGGAAGATCAGAATCGATGGTGGCAGTTTCAAGGAAATGTGCTCTAACTGGTGGTCCATCCACTGATGATGTGAACCAGGTTTTCTTTGGCAATTCTCGAACGGTTTTCCGTTTCAATGCACTGTTTCCATTGATATCTGCAGTATTTTTGCACGCCATATTTTCATAACTGAAGCAGCAGGAATCATAATTATCAGTAGCTGACCATTCGTTTGCTACTGAGGTCGAGCAGGCCACTGTCAAACGTCTTGGCCTGGTTACTTTCACCACTGATTTTACGGGTAATACAGAAGGAGGTAAAATTTGATTCTTGAAATCGTATTTTGGCATTTCCCACTGAATGTCTACAGCTGCTTTATCTGCACATTGGGCTGCACTCTTTTGTATGGACTTTTTGGTCAGTAATTGTGTGCTGATCGGGATCCCATACCCTTTTTGCAAAAGTGTTGTGAATTCCCGCGTAACACGTTTATCGCTAGATATAGACTGCGATGTCTCATACGCTTCAGCACTTGCAATACCACTGTCCTCCGTCTTCTTGATTTGGTAGGAAATGCTTGAGTCTTTTGTTTTGTTAGCAAATGTCATTTCTGACTTCAATTCCGTAGTCTTAATGAAGGAATTTTTTGATGCCTTTGATTTGAAATCACCACCAACTATAAATGTTTTATGCAAAGGTTTTGGTGATGATGACGAAGTAGCCCTTAGCAATTGCGGCAAGGATGATGTGGCAGACGCAAAACTTCGAGTCTTTAGCGAAGTCAGTGAAATTTTTGATCCTAACGTATGCTGGTGAAAAGTTTTTACAGCTTTTGGTAAACGTGTATTTGCGCAAACGTTAGCTGCAATATTAACAACAGTATTAGAGATAGGATGAGGACGATAAGCATCAGCTTCTGCGTTTACTACACTGTGCGCTCCTTTTCGTAAGAATGAGTTTTTACAGGCTTCAGAAGGGATGCAATGAGAAATGCTAGCACGAGCTTTCGAAATCCCTTTTTTTCCTGATTCTGTGACTTCGGACAGCATACCAGTTTCATCTACTCTTTTCTGAATATCGTTGTGCAAAGAAATAAAACACTATGATTCGGTCGGCATTAAAAACGACAGTTGAAAGATGAAAGCTTAATGTGTAGATTTTTTGTAATTACAATCAAGAAACTATCGAATCTCATATAATGCCAAAATATGTTCATTTGCAAGTAAAAAGAGTAAAATACTAAGCCTGACCGACTATTTTCCACCAAAAACGATTAGCTCCAAACATAAACATAATTCACAATTATTTATCTTAACGACGACTTTTTTTGCTGAAAAAAATGACAAAAATTTGTACTGAGAAAATTTGATATATTTTTTGTATATTCTGAAGTTGTTGTTGTGGCGTTCTAATATACATGAAGTCATTGCTATAAACATTCATAAAAGCGGCTAAAATATACTTTGATAATTGCCTAAAAAGTATTTTTGAAAACAAAAATCTAGCAAAATTCTAAAATTTCAAAATGGTTTTTTTGAAAATAGACTACAGCAGTTCTTTTTCCTATTGCTCAGTTACTACTATGCAATTACAAGACAGTAATCTGGAAAAGGAAAAATTTTCAGGGCATTTTCTAAGTAGAGAACTTGACTTAAGTGCCATTAAAGGCTTAGCTTAGAAAAACAAGCAAGTAATGTTACATTAGTGGGGAAGAAAGAGTTAATTGAACTGTCATAAAAGAAATAGAGAAGTAAAACAGACTACTCTGAATTAATGATGTTGAATTCAGTTACTCTGTACTGAATGATTTTATATCAATGGACTGATTTAGTTTACGAAAGCAGGGAGCATTTGCGTGCAAATATTTAAACAATATATTAGCAAAGAAAATAAATGAGTAATGACGCCGAGATGAATTTACTGCAGTAATTAAAAAAGAAAGGAATTCTTGATGAGTGTGATTTGTCGAAGAAATTTATACGGAAGAGCATTAGTAATCATTTGTACTGAAACAACAGAACAGATGAATATTAGGTGAAATAAAAGTAGAAGTTTGCCTGAAAGAAGATAGCATGGCAGTATTGAAGTAGAAAGGAAAGGGAGATGACGAAGTTATCTATGTTACATTTGAGATTGAAATTTCTATCATGGTACCCCGTTGATGACCGAGAGGAATGAGGACAAACCGGTACAGAGGACGAAATAGAGCAGAACTTAGGTACGGTTCAACAGAACCGTATCATTCCTCACTGATAACATCAATACCAGTACTACTGCCAATATCAGTATTGACAGTGCCCATCTATGATAATAATAACGATAATGCATTTCATTTTATGCTGCTATTTTCTTTGTTCACATATTCTTCAATTATTATGAACTATGTCATCCCGAATTTATGCGTACGTAAAAATAATCCTTTCTCTCAATCACTGTCCATATTTTGGTCATTTCTATATTCTTTCAAACTTTGTGACGTAATCCATCAAGCAGAACAGCAATAAAAAGTTTTGATGGCTGAATTACGAATTCATATCTTAAAGACATAAATCAGCCATACTCATTACTTTAAAATAAACAAATTAGATTTAAAATAACTATAGTTTAAGGTTTTGCAAAAATTAGGATTCCTGTAAAACTTTAGTTAGAACTTACTAAATATAACTGAACCATAGGAAGAAGTTACTCAACATAACTGAACGACTGTTTGCACATGAAACCAGCGTAAATTGTTGTAAACACTCAAGGAAAATGTCGCACAGTAAGGTAACTCAATTATGCTCATAGTATTTTGTTTTAAAGTAATTTTTAAGAAACTTACGGATCAATCTTGAGAATCTCGAGTTCATCTTCCTGTTCCATAAGCGACATCTCAGAATCCAAATACGAGCCATAATCACCGACACTGCCTTCATACTTATATATTTGTAACGCAGCACTATTAGCCTGGAGTTAATAAATTTATCTTTTACATTCTACATTTGAGCTACCACACAAAAATTTAATTAATTCTTACAGCCTAATCTGATCAATCTATGTTTACTGATTGAAGCTTAGCCTGAATACTTCAAGTTGATACATTTTTACAACAGAAAATAATTAATATAATTTAATCAATTATCAGTATTTGTTTGCTTCAAGACGAAATTAAATTATCTTAATTTTACACAGCTTAAGATTCCCATAAATATTTCTTGTTATTAGTTTGGGTCTTTATAGGTAAACAAGGAGATCAAAATGAGCAGAACTATATGATGATTACTCAAAAAGATCTCATTTTTAGGCTGTCTGAAAACTTTGATTAATTTGAATAATGTAGAACGAAGCAAATGAGCTAAAAGAAAGATATGAATTAAATATGAAATATTAATTAATTAATCTTTTACATTCCACAACTTAGCTATCATTCCATTTTACAAACTCTAACTGAATTGACTTTTCATCGATCTCTGATTACTTAACTTTGTCTTTCTTAAAAACAAATGAGGAAGTTTTTTTTAGTCAATTTAATACGGCAAGAAGTGAATTTCTCATCTGATTTTTAATATGGAAAATAATAATGAAGTTATCAAGGTATAGGATAAACTGAAACTTTTAAAGAACAAGAAAAGTACTTTGTGAGGTGCTCGAAGAGTACGAATAATTTCAGGTAGTTGTTCACCAATTGGTTGATGAATTGCAAAGTTGTACATCACGGGACGATTTGGTTCCAAATGTGAACTTGAAGTTGTGGCAAATGGATCTGAATCATCCACGTACTGAATACGACAGCTCAATGTGTCTGTTGCCATCACCATTTTATCACTTCTTCACTCCTAGTTCTTTTTTTAGTTGAATAAATATAAAATCTATGATCCGCTTATTATTTAAGCTCCAATTTAGCAAAATGATTTGGTACTTTCAGAATTTGCATTGACGCAGAGGCGCTCAAATATTAAAGTAGTAGGCAAATAACTTTTTGATGATTTATCAACATCTAAAAAGTACCATAAAAAGCATTGAAAATTAAAATATGAACAACTTTTATGTTGCAGTGTACGTGAGAATCGCAATTTAAAGTGAATTTTTAACGCATTAATAGTTCTATGTTCAAAATGAAGCTAGAAAATAGTGATCCAAGTAGCCGATTCATTCTAACACTAAGAGAGCAAGTTTAATATATTTTGCAAAAGAAGACTTAGAATATTTGAAATGAAAATAGAACAGTGTGTTGCTTTTATTCATTACTTTAGCAGTAGGAATGGATAGTAAGCAAAGAATGGAAACGCATTTCCAAAAAAATTTTAAAAATAACCCTAAAAGAGTCTTCACAACTTTAATGTTAAGCTTATCAAGTTTTGGTTTGTATGAAGCTGCTCTGAAGCATTAAAAAATAATAATAATCATGAAGAACTTGGAAACTCTTAAAACTAACGAGACTGCAATCTATAAGAGAAGTAGGAAAGCTTATTAAAAATTTGGTTTTTGAATCGAACTAATTATTTAAATCGTGCTTGCTTAAATGTTATTTGATACATAAGCAAATAAATTACTTGGTCAATCATTCTTCAATAAATCATATGTAGTAATGAAAATAATACGCCTAAGTCCTCAAATTGTTATCTAAGCAAGTAAACGCCTGATTATCAACACACGCAAAAATAAAAACTGAAGAGTTTTTGATGAAAATCAGTTCAAAATTAAATTTGTACGTTGTTAATATATTTTTCCTCAAACATTGTTTGAGTCTGAGCAATAAAATTTCCAAAAACAGTAATTAGTAATGCAGTAATCAAGCTTTAACCAAAATCTACATAATCTGATTTTGGACGCTTTTTTAAATCTATTTATTCATAATGAATAAATGCATCTAAATTAAAAAATTGAAAAGCTTTGTATAATGAATGAATATATTGAGAAATTTGAGAAATTCCGGCAGTAAAACTTAGACAACACAAAAAATAATTTCATTTTATAGAATACCTCAAAAACTTAAATTATATAAGAAAATAAAGAAAAATGTCTCAATAGACAATTTTAAAATCTCAAGAGTAGCGACAGATGTAACCTGCATTATCATCAAAACATTTGGTTATCACACCGGAGGCCATCCAGTATTAGTGTGCTGTCGCTTGATGCAATCTGATGATAACACATCTATTAAACTTGATTATTTTGATGCTTTAAGAATAATACCAGATATAATAACAAACGTGTATTACACTTATAGAGTAATGTAGAGAGTAATGTAGACGCTATTATTATCATATTTGTTATTCACAATTACGTCTTTCGCATAGTAACTGCCTGCTAATTAACAATATATAAATTATTGAGTTAATATTTTGAAAAGAATAACAGTGTTTTTGGATTCAAACAACACGAAACTCATTGAAATAAATATTCTATGATGCACTGAACCAATTCAATCTAAAAACATTATGTTTATTGGAAATAAAAAGAAAAGGTTGATAACATTCAAAAGAATATATTGCCGCTTTTTTAAAATATATCTATTATGGCAAATATTGTGAAAATTGCTTAATTAATAAGATAATATGAATAGAGCTAAATTACTTTTCATGACTGCAGAATTCATACACTTTTGGGCCATTTTTTAAGCTGATTTCACATTTTGAAGTCTTATCAATTGTGTATTAATTATTGTAAGTATACCAAAATGAAGACTTCGATAATTCATTACTTATCTCTTACCTCTATATAATAAATAATACATTTCCTACACCAGAAAAACATTAAACACTTCAACCAATGAAATTATTTTTATTTCAGAAAAGGAATTGCACGAAGAATGTTTACCTAAAATTCAATTACTATTAAAGTAAATTTTCAGACAAAACTATGCTCTTCAGTTGGCTTTCACTTGTTTCCCGAATTACAGTGAGGCTAATATAAAAATCTGCAAAAAAGCAGTTTCTATGATTTCTAAAAAGGGCCGTTTTCCATAAGATAAAGTGAATATTAACGTAAAATTTGAAGAAACACATCTATGACTGAAAATACTAAAAGAATTGTTACTAAAGAAGCATAAAGCAAATTCACTTCTACATGATAGAATTCCGCTTGAAATAATTATTCTTAGCATGTTGCGATTTAATAATACTTACAATTGCATAAAATCAGAAGCGCAGTAATTTTAATTTGATGGAATATCTAGTGAACACATTCAGCTGATACATCGGTAAAAGAATATTTAATAATGTAAAGGAAACTTGCAGTATCAGTATAACAGCATTGAAATCAACAATGAACATTTTTTTTAACAGATAAAAATATATTTAATAAAGGATGGACAATATCGGTGGCTACTGACTGCTAAACTGTAATAAGAAGAGCACGCTGAGGTGATGGAAAGGATAAGTGCGTATGTAAGAAGAAAGAAAGAAACCTGTTTTTGTTAGTTTTTTCTTAATCTATCAGCAATGATAGTTTTAACTATTAAATACGACTGCCGTTTATTTTCTCTAGAAATATTACAAAGTCATGATTTTCTGATGATTGGGATGGAAGAAATTCTGAAAACAAATCCATCAAATGATGGGCTTTTGGATCTTTAAATCACCAACAACAACATTACCTTAATTTACTACTGTTTGCATCCATAAAAAGCTGCAAATACCAAACTTTCAAAAAGACAGTATTTGAAAAATTTTATTAAAAACAGAATGTGAGGTACAGATAAATGTGAATGCTATAGAACGAATAAGGGATCAGTGAAACGAAATAAAACCTAAGTTAACCGATGGTAAATTGGAAATGCAATTTGACGTTATGAAAGATATCGAGCCACCGCTGCAGAAAGTGAGTGAAAAGAGGGCTAAATAAATATCCTATATATCCTGCCTGGAATTAGATTAGAGAATGTGTCAAGGTGCTCTAGTAAATCAATACACAGCAGTATAATAAACAAAAAGTCAGCGTAAAGAATTGTAATGGCTTGGAAAATAATAAAAATTACGTGAAAACTTGAAAACTGCTTAGACACTACACATTTTTCTTCAAAGATGTTTACACAATCTTGCTTATTGGTGATAGCATTATTTATCATAATGACAATAACTGCAATAATAAAAAAGCTTTGTACTTAGGTGAGAAATAAGCAATCAATAAGTGGCAGTAATTGTCAAGGAGAAATCAAAATAACAGCTGATAATTTATGAAAACCACTAATCTTATTTCTTAAAAAATACAAAACTGTTGAAAATGTAATACTTGAATTAAAATCTTTATTGACGCTATTCACGTTTATCTAGTACGCACTCTTGCAATGAATAATGAGTGAATATTCAATTAAGTGGTTATCAAGGAACGTTATATAGCAAAATGAGTTTGAAGATCTTTTGTACGAAGATGTTCGATCTATCTATTAAAAGAAACAAATTGATGCATAAAGTTCTATTCATGAAAGTTTTTCCACATTATAATGAATTAGATTGACGTAACTAATGATTTGCAGTACAAAGCAACAAATTATTTCTACAAATGAGAGTATATATATATAT